CGCCGACGTAACAACCGGGAGGAGCCGAGGAGGAGGAGGAGGAGGCGTCGTCGCGGCAACATCCCATCCCATCCCCCACACCTCCCACACGCGGACACGCCAAACAACTCCGGTTTGGACTCGTCTGAAATCCCTTCGCAAAAGGTGTGTTAAAAATTTAGTTAAAATTAAAACGATGTGATGAAAAAATTAAAAGTTTATATGTGTAGAATAATTTTAACGTGATGAAAAAATTGAAAAGTTTGGAATCGGCCTCGCATACCGCCCCAACCCCAAGTCGTCGCCTCCTCAAATTATTGGCGAATATACAAAGCGGCAAGTGGTGTACTGACCGTACAATCCTACTACTCGTACGCCTCGGCTGTACTTTGATCCCACCACCACCACCACCACCACTGAGATGACGCGAGGTTCGCAGTTCCACGCATCCCACCATCACCACACCACGACGACGACGACGATGCCGCAGCGCGCGTGAGCGATCACAAAAACGCCTCCGTCTTCCGGCCTTTTTCCCGTGAGTGAGAGAGCTCGCGCGCGCGCGCGTGCGTTCGCCTACTACATTCTTTCCCCTCCAACCTTTTCGAGGTAGTATATTTTTCCTCGTCCTCCCCGTGCTCTTGATTCTCTGCCTCGGTTTGGTATTTTGGCCTTTTTGATCGGGAGGGCGGGGGGCCAATTTGATTTGCCGTTCATTTCGATTTGATTTGATCCGATCTGATCTGTAGAATAGACATCACATCAGGGGTATGGAGGTTGGCGTGAGCGAAGCTTTGAATCCCGGGTAGCCGCCGGAGAGATTGCGTCCTCTCGCCTTCCCTCCCTTTGATTCCTGCTCGCCCGCCGCTCGTCTTTCCGCTCTCGCCGAGACACGGTGTTCGGCGGCCGCGCTTGTTTGGTCGCTGCCTTTTTATGCCAAACCCATCCGCTTTGAGAGATTGGCCTGTCGTTTTCCTGTTGTTTGGTGTAAGATTCCGTCGCTCTTGAAAGCTCACGATGCGAAAAGAGGGGCGATTTTTTTATGTTTTTGATTTATGGTATTGAGGGTTTTTTTTTTTTGCTTGCTTTGTTGATGGATTCAGGAGGAGGAGGAGGCGGTGGCGATTGATGGAATCTGATCGAATGCCGCTTCAGGCTGGGTCAATCGAGCTGGCTGCAACGATCGGAGGTTTCCTATCCCCTCGTGAAGGTGTCAAATCAGTATCCTTGTGCCGGATGGTTTGGGGATAATTTTCGTAGTGAGTTCATAATAGCGTCTCATTTGGGATTCCTCTGGTTGATTCAGTTCCCTTTGCAAGTTTGCGGGTTTGTTCACGGATTTGGTTGGCTTGAGATCGATCTTCATTCATTGGGAGATGGATGATGATGACTACTCCTGGGTGCGGCGCACCAAGTTCTCGCACTCCATTGTTAAATCCAACTCTGGCAGGGAGCAGTTTGGTGCATTCCTTGATCCGTTTGACAGTTCCACTGCATGGAGGCAGAAAGGATTCAGTGGAGAGCTCATGATTCATGGACATAATTTACAGCCGAGGGCAAAAGGAGCAGTCTCAAAGTCACCTAGGCCTTCAATCCCGTTGGCGAAATCACCAGTTTCACAGGCAGAGCGGAAGCTGAAAGCTAAGTTTTCAGATGGTGAATTGAAACAACGGGGGAAAATTAGTGATGGCTCGTTGCGAGAAGCATCGAAAGAGAAGGATCGCAAGGTTGGGCATAAAGGAGAAGGCCTTAGCCTGGATATTTCTTGTCCAATTCTGGATCGGACAGTTCAGGATGACAGTTCAGACACGCTTGACTTCTCTTTCCACTCAGAAGAGCAAAGTTTAAGGTTGCTGAGAGTATGCTCGAGTCCAGCTCCTTTCTATTCGAAGGATACAACTACGTTTGGTGATTCCAAAATACATAGTACGTCTGTTAAGATTGTTGGAGAGGGATCGAAGCCGAGGAGGAGAGCGAAATCCCCAATGCCGACCCGTGTCATCTCTGAAGTTTTTAAGGAGGCCAAAGCTGCCACTAAGAGGTTCTCTAGCCCACAGCGGCAAAGGAAATCTAGTTCTCCACATTCACCACGTTCACCCGATGATAGTCCCCGGTTTGGCTTTCCTTCAATGAGAACACCGGGTAACTTGAAAGCTAGGAGGGCCTCGTCCTGGCCAAGGAACTATGACAATGGAGTGGCCAAGGCTGTTGCATTGGATATACTTGAGAGATGGACAATTGACCGCTCACAGTTACTCATTGGTCAAAGATTTGCATCAGGGGCATATAGTCGTTTGTTCCATGGAATTTACAAGGAGCAGCCAGTTGCTGTCAAATTTATCAGGCAGCCTGATGAAGAAGAAGATGCAGAATTGGCTGCTAAACTTGAGAAGCAATTCACTGCTGAAGTAACCATTCTGGCTCGGCTCCATCATCGCAATGTCATTAAGGTAATTACACGAATTCCAATTTAAAATTTTGTCTGGTATTCTATTTCTTTCTTTGAAGAAGCGCATGCTACAGGGCTACAACATTGTGTAATCTCTGCTGCTCTATCTATTTATTCATAGAACTGTTCATAATTAGAATATAATTCATGTGATCCATAACATTTACACTTCTGTACCTTTCTTTTGGCAATATGACCCTTTTAACATATACACTCAATATTTTACCAGAGCCAAAGGACATATACGAGGAATATGTCTATTGTTATGCGATTGTGATTACTAAGTATATGAGAGGTATATGCTATCAATTTTAAATCAATTATCTACCTACTGCTTTAGCTTTCAGCTGAAGCAATGTTATCATATTTATCAAATGGCTCAAATACATGACATACTCTGGTGGAGACGCTCAATTTTATATGTAACCTTAGAATTATTCAGAATAAAAGAACCCAAAGCATTTTCATTGTGTTGTCTAGATTGCTCCTGCAGTTTATTAACCATGTTGATTCTTTAGGTCTCATGTAATATGCTACAAGAAAGACATTTTTTTAATCCTTTTTTTTTTGTTTAGCTGATTGGGGCATGTAATGCTCCACCGGTCTTTTGTGTCATCACTGAGTTCCTGTGCGGGGGGTCTTTGAGAGCTTTTTTGCGCAAGCTCCAGCGCCAAAAGCTTCCTTTGGAGAAGATCATTTGCATTGCTTTGGATATTGCACATGGTTTGGAGTACATTCACTCGCAAAGAGTAATCCATCGTGATGTGAAACCTGAGAACATCTTGTTTGATGGAGAATGTTGTGCAAAGGTTGTTGATTTTGGAGTGGCTTGTGAAGAAGTATACTGCAACTCATTGGAAGATGACCCAGGTACTTACAGATGGATGGCACCAGAGATGTATAAGCGCAAACCATATGGTCGGAAGGTTGACGTCTACAGTTTTGGCCTCGTATTGTGGGAATTGTTTAGTGGCTCGATCCCTTATGAAGAGATGACTCCATTGCAGGCAGCTTTTGCAGTTGTTAATAAGGTATTTTCTTTTCTAGTTCCTCAATCCTCATGTCCAGGACTTAGCAATTTGCTCCGTTCAAACTTAGAAGCAGTTCTCCTTATGAAACAACCACTTTACACACAGCAATTCTTATATTGATAGCCATGTTTTGGTAATGCATATTTTTCGTTACTTCTCTTATGCTGGCAAACTGTTTTGAGTTTCCCTTTTTTCAGACAAGACATATATCCCCATTTCAGAACTTAAGACCAGTTATTCCTCCGAGCTGTCTTCTCTTATGCGCGCAAACTGTTTTGAGTTTCCTTTTTTCTTTTCATGACAAGACATATGTCCCCATTTCAGAACTTAAGACCAGTTATTCCTCCGAGCTGTCTTCTCTTATGCGCGCAAACTGTTTTGAGTTTCCTTTTTTCTTTTCATGTCAAGACATATGTCCCCATTTCAGAACTTAAGACCAGTTATTCCTCCGAGCTGTCTTCTCTTATGCGCGCAAACTGTTTTTGAGTTTCCTTTTTTCTTTTCATGACAAGACATATGTCCCCATTTCAGAACTTAAGACCAGTTGTTCCTTCAAGCTGTCCGGCGCAACTTCGACTTTTGATCGAGCAATGTTGGTCTTGTCAACCAGAGAAGAGACCTGAGTTTTCCCAAGTAGTTCAGATCCTCAAAAATCTCAAGGAGGCCCTGGATAGAGATGGAACGCTTGACAAGATCCCAAGCACCAACTGCCAGGAACCTCCTGATCAGAACAAGAAGAGACTGTCCAATTGGATCCAAAGACTCTCGTACAGTCAGGCCGATTTCTCCGGACCTCCACCGCCAAAGTTATTGTAATTATATGCATTCCTCTCTTCCATAAATATCGTAGCATCTGCTAGATGTCTCTGTAAATCATAAGGTTCTTCTTGGTGTATAAACTCCGCACATTTTTTTAGTGGACAGTTCATTCTTGTTTGGCTTAGTAATTTTGCCTGCAACCAACCAATGGAGTCTTAGTTCCCGGCGGGTGGGGATGAATCATTTTGTGCATTGAGGTAGCAATCTTGTAGCATCTGGTTGAAGGCTATTTATTGCTCATGCTTTTTTAGGCCGAGGGGCTAATATTGACGTGTTATTCATCCAAAGACTTGCATACACGTGTAAATGGTCCAAAGACTAATATTCATGCATTTTTCCCAAAGTTACAACTAACGAAATTTTGGACCAAGGGCTAATGTTTATGTGTTTTGGGCCAACTGCTAACTGCTAAATGTTTTCACCAATGTATGTATGTAACTCATGAAATTCTCTCTCAAAACAAATATATCGTGAAATTTTGGGCCAAAAGCTATTACTCATACATCTTGTCCTTGGATCCTTGGATTAGTATCCTCTGCAGCCTTTGTCACATGACATATGGGCCCAATGATCTCTGGGCTCACATGTCAGTAACAAAGGCACCGTACATTTGATTGCAGAGGATCTTGATCCCTTATCTCTAAGGTCTAATCCTCTTCGCTAAGAAAACAATAAGATTTCTTGTGCTCAATGTTAATACTCATAAAGTTTCCACAAAAGAATAATACTTGGAAATGGCCTTTCCTCTTTTATTAGCTCCACAGGGAAAAATATGCATTGCCTTTCCTCTTTTTTCCCTATTAAATTTCTTCAATATAAAATATTTACCAAAATGGCCAAGCTATATATCCTCATCATTACATAATCCTCACAATTTCAGAGCCTAGCTGCTCCGTGCCTTGTTCTTCAGAAGTCAAAACAAGGTCAAAACCACGCGTGCACATACCAAAAAAAAAAACAAAAAATTCAAAATCAAAACAATCTTCTCAACTTCTCACCCATCGATCGCTAGCTCACACGACCTCCACGGCGGTCCGGCCGCCGAAGTCGAGCGTGAGCATGGACGCCCTGAACTTGGGCTGCATCTGCCTGTTCGTCATCCCCGGCGACAGCGGCGACGACGGCGACCCGACCGCCACCGCGTCGCCGGCGCCGCCGGCGTTGCCGGGCGGCGCGACCCGCTCCGGCGTGGCGAGCCACTTGGCCTCCATGTACCGCTGCTTCCTCCAGGGCGCCATGTGCATGCCGCTCTCCCGCGCGCACTGCTTCGCCGCGGCGCACATGACGCGCACCACGCCGCGCAGCCGATCGGCGCGGCCGACGAACGCCTCCGGCAGCGACGCCACCAGCGCCCTGTACCCCGCGCCGCCGCGCGCCATCTCGAACTCGCCGCGGAAGCTGGGCTCGACCACCACCCGCACCGCCTTGCCGCTCCTGGTCGGCGCCACCACGTCCACGTAGCTGTGCTCCCCTGTGTTACATGCGTACACACAGATCAGACCAAAATACCGATAAAATGTGTGCAATAATTAGTACTACTTTTTTTTGCAATATATTTGTATATTTTATTTACATACTGTTTGGAAGGTGTGAAATGCCATGATATATCCATCAATTTCATGACGTGGACGTGAATAGTAGAGGTCCATCTATCAGTTTGGGGTTCACATCAAGTCTGTCTTTGCAAACGTGGAGAGAATTTGACATCTGACATTTCTTTTAAAAAAAATTCTTCTCATAATGATTCTGCTTGGAAGCATCTCATGTGGTTGGTGACCATGTGAGGATGCGAGTTTGCACTCACACCGTTACAAATCATGGACATAAATTCTTGTTACAGCTAAGTGGTCCTACTGGGAGTTTGGTAATATGCTTCTCTTCTGAACTGAGATGGAACTTAAAATGGATCTGGCAATCCAGTGAACCAAACATAAAAGCATAAATCGACCATGCCACATGCAAAACCTTGTTTTGTTCCCTAACTGAAAAGTGCAACAAGAACCAGTCTGGACCAAAAAACTGTCCGTTAATTTGCCGAATTTAGCCTTTTTCGTGTTTGTCTGAACACATGATCATTTTCTCATGCACTGGGTTATTACCTGAAGGAATTTCCGGCGATCGCGGCCATTTGGACCTGCAGATCGCGCTGTTGTACCCGGCGTCGCGCAGCCGCTCGGCGAGAAACCGGAGCGTGCAGCTCCGGCAGCCTCCGCTGCCTGCCGCCGCCGCCGCCGCGCCGCGGCTCGCGCAGGAGCAGGCGCCCGCCGCCGCCGCGCGCATCTGCCTCATGGCCTCCTCCGCGTCCGCTTGGATCCTGCTCTCCGCCGAGCTCATCTTGGCCAGCGCTTCCTACACGTCCGCATGCAAACAACCCCCACGCATTGTCAACGGCGAGATATGCATGATCCATCCAAGAACACGCGAATCATTGGCTTTGACAACGAAACGATACAGTGTTCTTGCCACCAGATAATTAAACACAAGATCAAATGATGAAACAAAAAACAAAAAAAGAAGAAGTTGTTTTCGAAGAACTTACGTAGAGTTGCGACTGCTGCTCCTTCCAGAACGCCCTGCACTTGGCGGCGCCGCCGGACCCCTCGTCGTCGCTGCCGTCGTCGTCGTCACCGGCGGCGGCGGCGCAGTCTCCCGGCGGCGAGCTCTGGAGCTCGGCCTCCTCGTAGAACCCGAGCACCATGTTGGACAGGCTCATCTCATTGCCGGCCGCGACGACGGCCTCCTCCACAACCATTTTTTTTTTCTCCGCTAAAAAAAAATTCGTGGCGCGCGGCTCTCGTGCTTCGTTTCTTCGTCGATCGCCACGAGAAATCTCGGTGCTCCGTGGCTGCCGTTAACTCAAACCTGGTATATATATGAGGGGATCTGTGGGACGTGGCGAGCCGGCACTGGTGGTACGGCGGCAGGTGTGGGGCCCACGTGGGAGTGGATGAGGCGACTGACATGGAGGGAGGGGCCCGGTTGGCTGGAAATTCTGTAATTGAACAGCACGGATCCACGTCGGGTGATAGCCTCAGATCCTCTGCGTCTTGGGAGAGTATTATCTTCTCGGCCTGCAAAGATTTGTGAAGATCAGAGTGTGTTTAAGGATGCGTTATTTTGCATTGTCACAGCATACACGAGGCAAGTATTTATTTATATATGTTCTACTCCCGCGGCCCTATTGTTTGGCTTATTCGTACGATATATTTGCAAATGAAAAATAATTTGTCAATAAAACATTTATATATGTGTTTTTAGCGTTCTAAAAGCAAATGCTGAAAAATAAATTTTGATGAAAAAAAACTCAAAATCATCTTTAAATTTAAGGTTAAAAATTTAAATTTTGGTTGATAAATATAAGTATAAACGAAACAAAGAGACCGCTAGATTCTCCGGATTAAATCTAGGAATTGTGTCATTTGGCTACATTCCCATGTCTGCCACGCATGTGTAGCTCGGTTCCTCTGTGCAGCTCCTGGCCCGTTTCTAACAAAATGGTAAAGTTGATGCTCTGTTTTTTTCGGATGATCTAATAATGTAATATACTACTAGTAACGTGATGATGATGCTTCACGAGCAAATGGTTGTTGAAATTATTGAGTGAGGCAGCGTTTCACAGCATTATCTTCTCAATACATCATGGTTTGTCCACCTGCCATCCTTCCGTTGTAAATGGACTAGGCGCAGCTGTCTCAGGCAATTCCTAATCTCAAGTGTCAAAATGTGGAGGAGAAAAAAGAAACTGAGAAGAAAACCGAATCATCTCAACGCAACAAGGCCACAAGCCCACAACCACGTGCGACAGAATCCCCAGCCGAAGGGAATCCCGCGCCCCACGTCAATCCCCCGCGTCCCACACCCACACCCGCTTCAATAATTCCCGTGGCTTGGGCCCCGCCGCCACGGTGTCTGCGCTGTGGCGTGCGGCGCCCGCGCCGCGAGCGCGCGGCGGCACGCCACGGCAGCGCGGCCACCAGACGCTTCCACGGGCTTCTCTCGCTGTCTCGCCGCCGCGACGGTGACATCTCCGGGCGCAGGCCACGGCCGCGCCCAGCCACAGGAGCCCGGGACGTACGTACGCCACCGCCGGGGCGTGGGGGGGGGGGGGGGGGGGGGCGTACGTGCGCGCGACGCGACGCGGTTACTCGTGCTCTTCCTCGTGTGGATTTTCGCCTACGGCGCGCGTGGTGTGTGGCATAGCGTGCGCTGATACGCTCGTACATGGTACACGCCTACACGTTCTCGACGAGTGGCGGGTGCGGCGGGTTGATCAGGTGCTTGGGGTTGAGGGGGGACGCGTGTTGCGGTACTACGCTATTTTGTGGAACATGTGTGGATCAGATCACGTTAGTGATCTTTTTTCTTTTTAGATATACTAATGATGATCATGCTGATGATCTTGGTGGTAATCGTGGTTGACAGTTTGACACACTAGTTTTGGGGAAGCTTCCGGTGGTTCGATGGATAATGATGTTTACTCAACGTTGTTTGTTGGCAAAAAGAAAATGATATCGTTAATTTTTATCATGATTTTTATAGCACGTCTTATTCAAAACATAAAATAATATATAAATAATCCTTAAAGCTTCTAGTACAATTAAAAAAATAAATGATATTTAGTGTATTTTTTAAAAATAAGATGAATGATCAAACGATATATCAAAGGTTGACAGTGTTATCTATTAAAAAGTAAAGAGTAAAGAGAATATAATACTACATATTACAGATTTGTCTCTAAGGGTAGGGGTGGAGTTATCATGATACATGGGTATTCAGCTGAATACCCATGATATTTTGAAAGAAGCAAATAGATTTGAAAATTTCAATTTGTTATCACCTTTAACTCTTTTATTGTTTTACTAGCTTTGGTGTTAGGGTTTTTATGGTTATTTTAGAAACATGGTACAAACGCAAGTTTCTTTGGGTAGATTGTAGCGGAGCACATATTTATTTGGGCTCAGGATTGAAGGGTTTTCTTAGAGGAATCCAATCCATATAAATAATATATATTGGATAAAGGGTTTATATTTTTTTTTAGGATTTATGTTTCCTTTGGATTTGCTACCCACAGTGTTTGGATTATAGAAATCACGCAAAGGAATCTTATCTTATATGAAAAGCAACAAACTTTCTTAAACGAGAATGTGCCACATCATAAAAAACATATCAATCGTTGAATAAAGAGTTAATATAGATAATAGCCATTGGATCAAAAAGTTACATATGTACTTAAAGAAACAACAATTGGATAAACGTATGGGAATTTCCGGAGGTTTCTAGTGCCTTCTCTTAAACACATGGTACCAGGGGGAGGGGGCAAAGATAACGAAGAAAACAAAAACCAAGAAGCTTCTAATGATTTCTCATATAGCACGATTTAGTTAAATCTATAGTTAGCTAAACCAATAGATACTTTGTAAATAAATTAACTCATGCTAAAACATTTTGTAACTAATAGATCCTATATAACAAATAGTTCTTATGCATAATCAAAAGTCATGCAACGCCCGACTACGTGGCTTGTTTTGGAGGAATATTTTTGCATTCTCACGAAAAGGCAGAAATTCCAAAAGATTATAGACACCCACTCTAACTTCTTTTTCTTTCATAACTTATGTCATGGGATGGAATCCAACGTTCTAATCCTTTATTTTCTATTGTTATGTTCCGATTTCTGAACATCCAATCCTAAGATTCCTCTGTTATCTAATCCTCCATTTTTTTTCACGTGTATACCAGATCTAATACCTCCCTCAGATATCGGATTTGATACCTTCGGTACCAAATATGATATCTCATAAGTATCAGATCTGGTATCTAGACAGATATCTCCGGTACCCGTTACCTCGTAGGTTAGGTATCATGTTGACATTATTATAACATCAACTATTCCATTGAAACGGTAATACCGTTATATATTGTTTTCAAATCAAAATATAGCAAAATCGACCGATGGATTAAAATTTTTTAGGCGCATGTAGAATAACAAAGCTGATTCTTTTGTTTGGTTCAGGCCGCCACATACACAGGCACAGAGCAAGCGAGACAGACAACACAGAGGGAAAGCCGGAAAGGAGCCACCCAAAATCATATTCGTGCAACTCTGTGCTGGGAAAGTATCGAAACATACGGTTGAAACATGCTACATCGTGTAAGGTATAACCTCTGTCCGAATCATAACAACATTCCAACAAAAGCTCAAAGCGGCACAACAAGGAGACACGAACCTCAAAGATCAAACAACCCTATACCCTGGCGACGGTGGCAAAAGGGAGAACTTGAAGTAAGAAGAAATGTGCAATTAAATTCCTATGGTGTCACCTAGGGTTCATTCCGACGCCGTGTAGTTAATAGCGGATAATATCACTCAAGATGCTAAAGAAGTGGTTGATATCTATCTTTTCCTCTCCACCATAGACTGCTTCCGCGCTTCCTCCTGATGGCCCTTGTGCAGCCATCTCAACGAGTGTGTACAGCTTCTTGATTGGCATCTGCATCAGCCGAAGGATTAAAAGAGTTTGATCAGAAGGGTTTTGATTAAAGAGCTAATAACATAACAAGTAGAAAGAATATTTACATCGTCCAGTGCTTCTGCAGCCGCATCAATGTCCGCTTCATCGAACACATTGAGATGCCGCAACACCTACAGCGAGAAGGAAAATCAAGTCAAGAAAACATGATTGTCTAACGTGCTGGAGAAGGTAGCAAATCAATGATTTTGTATTCCACATCATGAACATGAGTATCCCTGTCATTTGCCAATTAATTGAATGCAGTTTATATCAGTTATTCTAGTATCTTGTGTATCCTCTCACCTTTGTAGCATCCTCCTTTTTCAGTTTGGGGACATGGTATGTCACGGAGAACACGTCGCACATACCAATGGATTCTAGAAAGCCTACTTCACTTGTTGTTCCAATAACAAGCAAGTTCTTGCCCTGCAAAGAAGAAAGCAGGTGAGGAAAAAGGTGGTTTCCTTCAAAAAAAAAAAAGGGAAATGGCAACAGCTGTGTAGCATCAATGTCCGACGTCCGAGAAGTGAAACAGTCCATGTACTGCGCTGAAGGATGCTACTAAAGAACAAATGTGATTATGTAAACCTTAGGACTTTGGAGGAACCCTCTAGATGATGTAATCAAGTATTATGCTCAGGATAATACTGAAGAGCAGCAACATGCAAACCTTAGGAGGAACCCTCTTGAGAAGGACTAGTAGAGTTTGTGAGATTATGTTTGAAAAGCGTGGTCCAATGGCAACATATTCCAGTAACCTACAAGATTTTATACGTGATTACAGGAACACATTAACCAAAACAGAATGTAGAAAGGATGCATTGCACAAAATGTTTGCAGATTTGATTAGTCAACTACCTTTCGATGTCATCTAGAATTATGATGCCAAACTGAGATTTGTATGCATCCTCAAAAACCTGTATTGCAATGACGAAACACACTGCCTCAATATAATTCTGTGAACATATAGAGAAGGCGAGCAAAATAGCCAGAAAAAAAAACATGTACTTTTACAAAATAAAATGATGCTAAGAGAGAAAGGAAAAATATATAGACTTCTACACCCTTCAAATGTCTCTTCCACACACTAATTAAATGCATTATGTAATACATCAAATCTGACCTTGCAAATCTGTGCACATTTGCTGCTTTCACTGAAACCAATCATTGTCTCTGCTGATATCTATAGTGGAAACAAATTAAAAAAAAATAAGACATATACCTTTTGATAGAGAAATGAAGGAAATCCAGAAAGAAACTTACAATTTTGACGTAAGCAAAATCACTGTCAATGCCAACAGTAGCAGCCAAAGCCGATTTACCACTGACAAGCAAAGGAAATGTTAATTGAATTGAGGCTCTGGTAATGTTTTTAAAGATGAACATTCTGTTTTAGTTAGTTACAATACCTTCCAGCAGGACCTTCCAAGAGGCATGTCACAAGTGGACTACCTTTGCTAACTTTAACTTGCTCAACAAGAAGCATACCTCTCTCATACAAGTGCCTATGTGCCTTGCCACAATCAACCATACCCCTTAGCCTGTAATTTTTGCACAAAGGTATGGAAAATAGCATTAAACTTCTACCAAATATTCAGACAAACAGTAAAGAGTAAATAGAACACATGAAATTAATGAATGAAAGGGCATAATGCATTAGGTCATCCAAAACAATAAATTATGATAAATAACCAAGTGATCTGTTTAGCAAAATATTAAATTGACATGAGTTATCATTAATAAAAAAGATGTATTAATGCAAAGGAAAAAGCCCTATCAACTACTACACAAGAATGACATGCCCATAGCCAACAATGACTATGAATTAGGAATTGCATTGTGCCGTATCAAACGGCATAAGAATTAGATAGTCCCATGGGACACAGGAAAATAAAAAATATAAATTTGAAAGATGAGCCCAGAAACACCCTAAGAAGAAACTGATCATTAAACATTTTGCTAAAGCAATGCTCGGGGTATCATAGCACAGACCTGCATCTTTCAAGGTCATCAGTGGAAGCACCAAATGCAGGGGTAATTTCATGAAGTGCATTCACAAAATCATCCATAGTAACCTTAATGCTTTCTTCATCCAAAGGCTTGGTAAGGTCATCCATGCTTATCTGCCTGTTCAAAGCATATGAGACTGCACTTTTGACGACACCTTCCAGCTCTGCTCCACTGTAGTTCTTTGTCCGTGCAGCTTCATTCAGAAGAGCATGTCACAACCATCAATCACATTATTTTTGTAGATAATCGATTAAAACCCAGCCTCTACAACCAACATGGATGTACACAGCCAAGATCACATGCAGCACATATCTTTTAGAACAAGAAATTCCCACAGGCACCTACTCAGTCATACTAAAATGGGTGTTGAAGTAAGAAGCATTGCTAAGACAGCAATTTTTGGAAATGGGAAACTAAAACCTTTGAAGCTTGAGTAATAAGACTAGAATGAGCTAATCAGTCCATTTTAAGAGATCATTTACAACATTTGTTATAATGAACGAATGCCTGAAAACAAATATGAATTATCAAAGAATATACCTAGCTCCTGAAGATTAACATTCGGGGAAAGGAAAGAGCTTTCTTTCATCTTATTCGTATGAATTTGAAGAATCTGCAAACGGCCATTTTCATCAGGCAGGTTTATCTCAATATGAACTTCCAATCGTCCAGGCCTGTAACAGATGTGTCAAATGTCAATGGATACGTGCAAATAGTAAAACAAAAATACAAAAAGAAGATTCCCCAATGGTTTAGGCCTGCAATATCTAAAATAATCAAGGCAAGCATAATTTTCTGAATTACACAGTAAATGCAGCACAGAGTTATGTTTAGATATTAAAATGTACATAAAATGAAATGGTAACAATTTTAGGAGGTCTGATGCATTTCATGATCTAGCTTGAGTGCATTTCTAGAGGGTCAGAAGTTACCTCAGTAAAGCTTCATCAAGTAAATCCTTACGATTGGTCATTCCAATGAGGAGCACATTATTCAATGCCTCAACACCATCTATCTAAAATGCAGAAAGTTTGACGAGAACTTAGTGTATATGCAGAAAGAAAATACGTGAGTCCAAAGTTCAAATTCTAGGAAAAGATACCTTTGTAAGGAGCTGATTTACAATGCTATCATGTACACCCGTACCATCTCTGGTAGATCCTCTAGACTGCACAGCACAATCAGAGTTTAATTAATTCAGGAGAAGTTAGCAGTTACTATAAATAAAGCTGAAGCAATGCTACAACTGATGTAATCAAACATAGCACACTGAAATATACACTGGACAAAATTGCAAGTTGAACTTCTAGAAGGGGTAAAAGAGTTTGATCTGAAGTACTTATGCTCTGTTATTCCCTAAGAACTTATGCATGACTAATCAGTCAAACTATTTGCTCTCATATTTCCAACTCACTTAATGTAAGGGTACTTCAACCATTCTCTTCGGTGACATTCTCAAACTAACCTTATGAAATTAACAAAGGAAGAAACACAAAAAAAGATGTTTTACATCTTGAGAGAAAGATATAGTCAAGTAGAAATATGCATGATGTTTATTTAAGGAAAAAGAACTCCACCTTGCAGATAGCATCAATTTCATCGAAAATGATAACGTGGAGGTCACTCTGATCACCTGTATTTGAAAACAAGGTACCGCGATTAATTGTTAAAAAGGGTCCACTCCACATAAAAATATGGAAAAGCTTTTATCGATGAGGAATCATACCTCGTGTCTTCTGGTCATTTTCAGCATCAGCGAACAAATCTCTCACATTCTTCTCAGTTTCTCCAACAAACTTGCTCAAGACTTCAGGTCCATTTACAATCTGAGCTTGTAGAAAGGTATTAAACATTAAGTATGAGCTATCTGCATAGGTTACTGGGCTCTTGATTTCTAGTTTTTAACAATCACATATTACTGACTCTGGGAAGTTGTACTGCATAAATTTGTGTCATGATACACAACGATTTCATAAAAAATGTTTTATAATTCATGACACTTTCACAGCATAAAATGGAGTGTGACACAGAGCTTCTCTGGTTGAATCCTTCGAGACTTGAGGGCTTCCTCATTGGATTAGTATTCCAAATAACATAACTTAAGATCCAACAATTTGAGGTCTACTTTTAAAATAATGTTATAGCATATTATCACTTATCGATGTATATCTGTGCTGGTGACTAAACCGTTTGAAACCCTACTTTTAAATATAATATTTGTACAGATTTGAGTATCCTACTAGTACATATCAGAAAGAAATAGGTAATATACAAAGGAAGCCATTAACAAATATCTAGAAACTTTACTCCATATTCAATAATAGATTCCATACCATACCTTGGGTTCATTTCCGTTCAGCAGTTTCCCAATTTGACGGGCCATAAGAGTTTTGCCAGTACCAGGGGGGCCATACAGCAATATACCTTTAACATGCTTGATGCCCAATCTGCAATATTCAGCCATTAGCAGCACATCATCTATTTTTTTTTATGATAGTAAAAATAGAGAAGATACTGTTCTTACTTATTAACAACATGAGGAGGAAACACCCTTGAAGCAAATGCCCTTCTAAATATGTCTGTGAATTCAGCACTTAATCCACCTATCCCCAACTTTTCAAGGTTAAACTCTTTGTGCTTGAAAAGCTTGCTGCTAGCAGCTTCCTTTTGGTTTACTACCTGCAGTAGAGTAATAGGTCTTATTTGTGGTGTTTCACAAGCTATAAGTAATGTTCTTGTCAAATACACTATTAAAAGAAGCTGACAACAATATAGAAGGTACTCAAATGAACCTTAATTCCTGAATTAGGCGCAGCCTCAAATATGATGTATGTATCACTTGACAGGAATCCTCTGTCCAAAGGTGTGGAATTTTCTTGGCCATCTAGCAAAGCTTGATTGACAGTGAATATATAGTTTGTCCCACAAAATTCAAATGGTACTCTTTGCCCAGATGTCATGACCTGTTGTAGATAACACCATCATCACCATTTAGGGTATACAAGGACATAGTACTGTTAATTTACATGAATCCAGAATCTAATTGTGCAAATGAGACATTTTATGTATATCATGCACATTAAATCCAATTGACTGAAAGAATCAAAGGAATAAACCCTACTCAGAGAAACAATGTTAATTGACTATGGCATACCTGATCAAGAAATCTCCTTCGAAGTTGTTGGGCAAGCACAACAGCATCCAGCTGTGAAACCAAGCTCATGCAGATGAGATTACACTGACCAAGCACTAAATATTTGCATCATAAACAGAACAACGAACTTACCTCCTCATTTCGGTTGGTTCTTGCCTTGGTATACTCTAGTTCTAATGTGAGCAATGCCAATTTGAAATCATCGGGAGGGGCAAAACTGATGCAAATATTATCAGGGGAAAACAGTAAGGCAACACATAATCATTCAAAATATTGATCAGCACGCCACTTGAACTTCCTACCTGCTAACAGTGATTGAATCCCCAGCTGAAACCTTCGTCTGGCGACGCTGAATGGCATTCAATGCGATGCTTCCAGCAGAAACAGCATCATGGGCAGTGGATATTCATTAAGGATCACACATGAGAAGAGAAACTTATAATTCAATTGGGAAGTAGGCACGAAATATCATCAAAGCATCTCAAAGCTGAGACATCATGATCTCATCGAAGGTAGATTTGAGAGCAATAATAACTGGAAGCCACATTACGGTGAGCCCAGCAACCCCAGCACAGAACACTAAACTAAACATCAACACTGGAGGATAACAAATCACAATAACATTTGCGCTTAGGCACGCTACTAACCATCACACCAAGTCACCAACTGGTTTTCTCTACGTTCGTGGATTCATACGGGAACCACTACCAGACCAGATCAAAATCGCCAGAACGGGCTCATTTGGGGGGAGAGAGATCTAAGCGCGGGGGAGAGCACACGAACCGATTTGGTTACGAGATCGGCAAAAGGATATCGCAGGGTGAAGACGAAGGCGTCGCCGACGAGGGCGAGGGCGTTGGGGAAGCGGCGGATGTCGGCGGAGGAGACGTACGCGCAGTTGGTGAGGGCCAGCTCCTGCCCCGGCGTGCTCGCCACCACCATGGACATGCCCCCGCCGCCGCCGCCGCCGTAGCCGTGGTAGTTCCTCCCCGCCATGGCCGCGTCGCCGCAGCGGGGGTGAGATCTCGCGGGAGCAGAGAAAGGGGACGACGAGGACGAGGAGGACGACTCGCCCGCGCAGGAGAGATGCCGAAAGGAAAGGAAATGGTGGCCGAGTAGTAGTGCAGAACGAGGAGGAAGTTATATTTGTGATTTTGTCTGATTTTTCCCTTCTTTTTTTTTTTGTGTTGTATCTTGTTTGCTTCGATGTGAAGGAGCCGTGGTTATGGGCCTCGTGGATGTGCTCCATTGGTTAAGCCGGCCTTCTGTTCTGGCATGGTCTAAAACTAGTTTATCCTTAATTTTCAATTTGCTTGTCGAATTTAGCAGACAAAATATCATGCATAATAAATCGTTCGAGTTAAAAAAAGAACATTGATGCATTAGGAAACCCACAAGTACTCCATACTTGTGATGCATGATATATTCTTTCTGGATCGTTTCAACAAAACTGGGTGACAAAATTTCAGTAAGGTGTGTACACACATCATCCAAGATCCAACAAGGAAAAGTACACCAGGCAACAAGGAAAATTTTCATGGTCGACGAGAGGGTCCATCTTTTGGGCAAAAAAAGCAACACACTGCCTGACGAAGCCTCAGGTCGACTCGCTCTTCGGCCGACGAGTTGTGGCGAGGACTGCAGCGCGGAGAATCGCGTCCAGTACAGATGGCCAGTACTCAGCTGGTGCCTGATGATGTGCTGCTGCTCAGTTAACACTTTCCTGCAATAGTATTGACTGCAATAACGTTAAAACATCTCTTGCAGATATCTTTGTTTTGACAAACTTGATAATCATTTATACTATATTTTTTGTGACATTCAAAATGTAATGATCGGCAAAAAAGAAATACTCACATTGTCAGCATTTCTCAACCATAACCTAATTCCTCGTCCCAGAAGAGCACAGATACTTCAACATGTACTCATTAGAAGAACAAGTGTCGGCCAAATCCTGATGAATTCTTGTTATAGACTTCTGAAACGACTTCAGAGCAGGAAGCAAGGCTCTGGAGTTTTGTTGAATATAGTTTCCGTGAATCTTGCATAGCTCCTGTAACAAAAATATTAGAATTAGATTAATCTGGTATTCCCATCAAATCATCAGCTTCAATAACAATATAGAGAACAATAATGGTACCTGAGACCAGAGGAGAATAAATTCAAGATGGGGACAACTTTCCAAAAGGTCAGAAAATGCTTCGATTAATCTCTGAAGATACTTCAAGGGTGTTGATGAACAAATTGCTCGTACATTGGATGGATCCACTGAAAAAATGCACTTCTTGATCAAGGAGTCTTCATTTAACCGGAGGCTGAGTAGAAGGGCTCTTTGCTGTTGGTTTTCCTCAAGAGCTTCTTCCACTTTCTACAGAAGCATCATGTGCAAAATTTTATTTTTCAAATTGATTAGTATAATTGGAACAGAACTACTAATAAGAAAGAACATATGGTAAATACCTCAGGGGTAACATCAATGTCAAGATCTGTTGGATCAAAAATAAAAGAATCATCAACAGAGTACAATAGAACACCATCAGTGGTTGCTGCAGCGAAAGATCTTCCTGTTGGAGCAAATTTCACGCATTTTGTCCGAGCTATGGGCCTTCCACGATTTGCCATGGAACCAGGCAAACCAAGCCCCAAGTTGCCTCTTGTTTGTTGATCGATCCCCTCCTCAACATCACTATCCTCATCATCAATCAGATCTAGTGCACCAGCATCCGTCATCTTCTTTGAGTTCAGAAAATCAAGTACTCCGTCCAACGAGAGATTGCGGGTGATCTGGAATCTACGCAAGAGCACCTACAAAAGTGATGGGTACATAAAAACAATGATATTTCAACAATTAGGACAGAAAAGAAAAACATGTGCAAAATAACACCAATAACTAAACTAACTATGTCAACAAGGACATGTGCCAATAACTAAACTAACTATATGTCAACAAGGACATGTGGTAAGACATTCTAAGTTTGAGCTAGACATCTATAAAACAACATTCAAATGACAAAACAGAACGAGCAGAAACTGTAAGAAGATCGTTCCAAGGCAGAGAGCTACTAAAATCCACAAAAATAAATCAGAGTATAGAGGGTGCTCTCCAGATCAATTAACAAAATACAAACACCAGATAGAAATTAGTTACAGACAATGATGGAATTGTAGAGAGTACACACGATTAAAAAAATGGATGCAGCTCTAAAATTAAGTTTTAAAATGGATGATGTGTGTATATACTAAAAAGCCATTATCATCATAAGAAAACTTTCCTGACCTGTTCTCCAACATCATACATGCATATATATTTGCTGTTTCCTCCAGCTAAAATATAAGTCCCGTCAGCAGAATAGCACAACGTTGTGAAGTACTTTCCTATACTTGTATTAGCAGCAGATCTTCTGTCAGTCATGAGACGACCCCCGGCAATATCCCTGCGGCCTTCAATTGTATACATCAACAGGCCGTCAAATGGATCCCAGAAATGGATTAAGCCATCTAGTGTGCTGCATGCTATCTGTCTTCCATCAGGGCGATAAGCCAAAGTAAGAACATCATGTGAATGTTGAAAAGTTTCCACTGCACCCTTGCTCTCAAATACGTCCCAAAGGCGAACTGTTTTGTCCCATGATGATGAAGCCAAAATAGCCTACCAGACAGAATTCAGTTTAACTCTTTCTGTGGATTTACACAACATATAGAGTAGACAACGCAGCAGATTGAGCAAAAAGAGATTGTGTACCAGTGTTTGTACTAAAGTAGTTTATATTTAGTAATGTTTGACAGGCAGGAAATAAAACAGGGGTAGAATAAAACATGCGCTCTTACATTGATTGGCGAAAACATTAGGCCATGAACTGGTCCTTGGTGACCACTGAGTATATCCAACAAACGACCAGTCTTCATTGACCAAACAAATATCTGCATGAAGATGTTTTGACAGTCAAAAAAATGAGAGAAAAAGAGAAGCATATGCACGGGGAAAAAAACTGCAGCAAAAAGGTTGACTTCACACACACACCTCAAATGAATCAAGTGTTCCAGCACATATTACTTCTCCACTCTGATCTGCCGTTAAAGAAACAAATTGTCTGGGCAATGCAGTAGTAAATGTCTTGAAATTTCGATAGCGGAACAGATCCCATGCTCGAATAGTCCCATCAAGGGAGGCACTGAGAAGAGAATGATTATTGGCCATAAAATGAACTGCAGTAACAGCGTTTGTATGCTCCGAAAATGTTATGAAACAGAACCCAGAGGAGACTGTCCAGACCTGCAATACATCATAAGTGGTATGTGTCAAACTCAGGGTGCAGTATACTAATACTCCCTCCGTTTTTTAATAGATGACGCTGTTGATTTTTTCTCACATGTTTGACCATTTGTCTTATTCAAAAATTTTATGCAAATGTATAAGATATAAATCACACTTAAAGTACTATGAGTGATAAAACAACTCATAACAAAATAAATTATAATTACGTAAATTTTTTGAATAAGACGAATGGTCAAACATGTGAGAAAAAGTCAGCGGCGTCATCTATTAAAAAACGGAGGTAGTACTAACATAGAAGGTCATAATATATAACTATATCATTTTTATTATCATCTAATTCTATAGATAGACAACTATAATCTTCAGTTGACATTAATATGCTTCACATAAGTATTAGCTCAGAGGCAGAGCGACTGCTTTCTACTACCCACATAACATTCATGAATTGATTTCTTTACTTGAAATATCTCTTCATCAAAACTAAAAACACTATCTAGTACTACCGTAAAAGATGTTTTCATTTTTTGAATGACATAAAACAATAAATTTCCTCCATCGCCAACTAGAATGAGCGTATAATAGTGAGTGCAAATGTCACTGCTTGTAACACACACCTTGACTTTGTTATCATCAGCTCCAGTGGCCAGTAATTGGGAGTCTGGTGAGTATGCAATGCAGTTCACATCAAAGTAGTGCCCCTGCTGCTTCAAAATGTAGCTCTCTGATCGCCACTCCCACACCAGTAATTGCCCAAGTTTGGCACATCCAAAAACTAACCAATTCCCCAAACTGTTGAAAATAGCAGTAGTGATCTTCTCCCTTGATATTGACAGTAAGTGGAGGCACACAAAGTCTGGCATCTGGTACAGCCCAAATACACCATTAGAGAAACCAACCACCACCATGTCAAGCTCCCTATGGTAATCACAGGCTGTTAACTTAGCCGGTGACTGCATGAAGAAGTCCTTTTTCTGCAGCTCCCACCTTGTGAAATGCAGCGGGGTAGTGTCTGGTTCTTCCGATTCTCCGAAACTCTTCCTTTTCCTGCTCCCGCCATCCAATTCGGGCTCGTCACCGTCCAATTCAGCCTCACCATCCTGTACCGCCTCCTGCTCTGGCGTCCCTGGTGAAGGTGGAGGCGAATCATCACTTCCTTCCACCAAATTCCATGTAAAGATAGCTCCGTCCTTGGTAATTGTGTAAGCCCCAGTGACTCTCCCTGTCTTCTTATCTGTGGCGAAGAAGGCGCCAACCACGGCGGCGCGGTGGCCAACGAAGAGGAATGGTTTGCCTCCAAGGCCTTTCTTGACAGGCAAGAGGCGGGCGGTGAGGTCCTTGCAGGAGGCGAGGAGGAACGAGGAGTCGGGAGACCAGTCGAAGGCGGTGACACCGGCGGCGAAGCCAGGGATGGTGCGGAGCAGGTGGAAAGGGAAGAACTCCTTGCGGAACGCGGGCGAGCGCCAGATCTGGACGAGCTTACCGACGGCGACGGCGATGAGGTTGCCGTCGGGGCTGAAGCGGACGGCGGAGGGGGCGGACTTGAAGGCGATCCGGTGGAGGACGGCGCGGCGGCCGAGGTTGGCGTAGAGCGCGCGGCCGGCGTCGTCGACGGAGAGGAGGAAGTCGCCCGAGGGGGAGACGGCGAGGCGGGTGACGTTGGAGGAGGACTCGAAGGGGAGCGTGAGGGAGGAGGAGGCGGAGAGGTCGGTGGACGCGACGCGGTTGCCGACGGCGGAGAGGAGGACGGAGGAGTCACCGGCGAAGACGGCGTCGCCGCCGCGGTACGGCGCGCCCAGGAGGTTGTGGAAGCGGTAGTTCATGGCGGGAGAACGGGGGAGGGCGCCGTGGTGGCTAGGGTTTTGCGGAGGGTGGGAGGGAGGAGGACGAAGACGAGGAGGAGGGTTTTAGTGGGTTTTGTTTTTGGGCCTGTAACTTCTAATGGGCCGAATGGTTTAGATGCATTTCATTTTGTCCTATTCAGCTACTTCTTCCGTTTCACAATGTAAGTCATTGCATTTCCCACATTCATATTAATGTATCTAGATTCATTAACATCAATATGAATATGGAAAATACGAGAATGACTTAAATTGTGATAGCATTTCCCATATTCATATTGATATTCATTAACATTAATATGAATGTGAGAAATGCTAGAATGACTTACATTGTGAAACGGAGGGAGTATATCTATATCTATATACACCGTATATTACTACTTAAAAATTACTAATGGTGACAGTAACTCCAACCTAACAGACACGCGTAATACTAACTTTACGATCATGAGATCCAACGCTTCCGGATATCCCACACACTCCTCCCCTCCACACGCGACCCCATCGTGCTCCTCCTCCTTACATTGTGGTTCTCCCCATCAGGTTAGATTGTGCTCACGATCTAACCGCTGACGCCGCTCGTCTCCGCCGCTCCCCTCGCTCCATTCCCTCACGCCGTCCAGCCCCCGCCGCCACGGCCTCCTTCTTTCATGATGTTTAATTTGCTCTTCTATAGAGGTAAAGATAAAAGATCTATCGTTCTTTCAGTTTGAGTTCTTAGTTTGTATGATGCTTAATTTGCTCTTGTCCTGCACACCTGTGTTCCTTTTCAGTACATGGTTATGTTCAATAGATGAATGTCGTTTAACCAGTGTTGTTTGGTCTGATTGTGGTCTGATAGATGTGGAATCCAATGCAATATGCACAAAAAGGTTTTGTTTTTGTTCTTTCAGCACACAAATAAATGCCATTACAAGTTCCAGCAGCAATCTTATATTGTCAGGAGTATATTATCACGACGCAGCCAAATTTCCTCGCACTGTAGAAAAGTCTAAAATCACAGCACAAAGGCTAGGAGCTGCATACCCAAACATGAAACTCTCTTTTTTAAGTGGCTTACTATTACTAGAAGAAAGAGTACTTTAAAGTATTATTAATTGCAGCAATAGCAATTCTATGCAGATCAACATGAACTGTAACAGACAGATGTAGCCTGATTTCCCATGGTGATTTTTCATTCACTAGTCATATCCTCACATCTTCTTGGAAATCCTCGTAAAACCTGCTGTACAAATTTTGAGCTATTCTTAAGAATCACCAGGCCGACCTCTCAGTATTGGATGGACCATTTTGCAAATGGAATTAATTGCAGCAGTAGGGTCAATTGGCAATTTATGCTAAAATGTACAATTTTTCTCTTTTTTATTGTGGAACCACAGCTACAAAACAATTGTACCTAAACATTACAAATGTGTTTCAGACAAATCTCTACTGCTTTTAAAATTGAAAATGTTTCCATCGTCCGTCCAAACAAAAAAAAGTGAAAAAAACAACCTAAAAAAAGTACGACCCCCCTAAAGTGGCCAAAAAAACCGTGGATCCGATTCCCCTTAAAAACAAAGAAATACAAAAAAAATACGATTCCTAAAAAAGGCAAAAAAAAACAAAAAAAAATCCGTAAATAATAAAAAGGCAAAAAAAAACATCCTAAAAAGACCCGATTTCCCTAAGAAAGTGGTGAAAAAATCATTCATAAAAAACGCGCGAGAAATAAAGTAAAAAGGGTGGAAAAAAGAGTGCGGCAAAAAAAGTCTGATTTCTATTATTTTAGTAGTCCGTATATATATCTTCTCTATCTATAATCTAATATAATCTAACTATTTAAAAAGAGATGTTTCCATCGTACATAAAAAAAAATAAAAAAAAGCGCGAGAAAAAAAAAGGTTTAAGAAAATGTGTGAGAAAAAAAACAAAGTGAGAAGAAAATGTCAGAAAAAAGTGCAAAAAACGCACTAGAAAAAATGTTTCCGTCATATGTAAAAAATAAAAAAAATGTGCGAGAAAAAAATTCCATCGTCTGTAAAAAATAAAAAAAAGGTTTTAGAAAAAACACACCATTTCTGAAAAAACTACATGGAAAAGGGAGAAGAGAGGGGATGGAGGAAGAGGATGGAGCTGACGTGTGGGTCCCATACTAGAGTGACGGCGATGGATGGAAAATACGACGGCGGTGGCATGTATCCAATTTTACAAAGTTCCAGTGGCACTCAGCAGATTTCGCGAATAGTAGTGGCATTTTTCTAATATGGTAAAATTGCAGTGGCATGGATCCAATTAACCTTTTTTTTTATGATGCTTCAGATGCCTTGCAATGGTATTTCTCAGATCAAAAAATGATCCATTGTTCTACAATTTTTTTTTCAAAATTTATGTTTAAATTTTTGTGCTCTAATTGTTTAAGTCTCATAAAATACACATATTAGTACTCAGCAATTTTTTGAATCATTTTCCAAGCTAGTTGTAGCTCCTTCATCCTTAAGGGCATCATGGACATTTCCAACCAAATCTAACGGTGAAACTAAGGAAACCTAACAGGAGGGGTATGGAAGAGATCAAAGTGAAAATTCAGAGGTACAAAAGAGAACATCAAAATTCAAGAGTATTAAAGGGATTGGATAAGTTTTTATGGGCACATAAGAAATTTTCTCAAAATTTAAACCGGACAGATCGAACCCATTTCGCTCCCCCCTCGCGCACGTGAGGCGCACGCCCCTCCCAGGAGCGATAACCCTATCTCCCTCCCTCCCTACCCCTTCACCTTTCTGTTCGCGTTTTTTCCCATCGAAAGAAGGCAGCGGCGGCGACCGCGCGAGCGCGACGCGAGCCTGAGGCGGCGGCTCGCGACCCCCTCCCTCCTCCGTCCCCCTCCTTGCTGAAACTCAGTTGGTCAACGTCGTCATCCTCTCGCCATTGGCTGTTGCGGCAGAACAAATCCAGCGCCCATCCCCTAACGAGGTCTCCCCTGTCCTCTCTACTCTGCAACTGCTCGTTGATGTGGTATCTTGTGTCACAGAAGATTAATTCACCCTTGAAATATGATTGCTCGTTGACCCACTCGTTGATGTTGTTTTTCTTTTCTCAATTTATTCATAGTAGATTAAATTTTGAACTGAGCAAGTAGTTTGTGATTATATGATCTATTGATCTGTACTTGAGCACGTCATTGTTCATCTTGTGTTGAGAAATCTTCTTTTATTTTTAGATGAGCAATCCTTTTGTTTGTTCAGTTGAAGCGCAAAAAAAATTATCTTTTGTTCATCATGAGTTCGACATTTTATTTTCTAATATAGTGACATAAATATTATTTTATTTTTAAAAAATAATTACATGTGTGAGAGAGGTAGCCTCACCATGAGGTATCTCTATCTAGACAACCCACCATTGTCTGGATAGAACTATTCTAACCCATCATATCTCACAAACCAAACAAAAAACAGGATCCGTTCCATCCCTTCGAGAAAAGAGAAACTAGGTCTATCCCATCCAAAAAAACAGGGATAAACTTAACCAATCCACCTCACTCCCAAACCAAACACATGCTTTAGTGGTGGTCTTGAATCCTCACCAGGAAGACCCATGGAGTGTGTACCGTTCGATCGCAATGGAAGTGTCACCTCATTCCCAAACAAGGTATCCATGTAGTTTACTCATTTGGGCTTGCAATGGTAGCGTCACTGCCGCACTCCCGGTTGCAATGGTGCCTTTGTGTCATGGGTCATGCTGCTAATCCATTATATAGTAAAAAAATTAATTCTTTGTATTTTCCTTCTTATGAACCTTAAGTATATATTTCATTTCATGCTTGCTTGTCAAAACAGATCATGCCTTTTGTTTGTTTTTGTTTCTTACTGGACTATTATGTTGCCGTAATGTTAGCAGCAGCATATTACTAGGAGTTGTTCATTTCGTGCTATATTAACATTCTTATTACAAGTAATTTACAATCATTGATTGTTTAGCATCATTTGACGCACTGTGGTTTTAAATTGATGTATATTTTTTTTTCTGGTTGCAACGCACAGGCACCTAACTAGTCAATCAACAAAACTAAAAACGGCTTATCCATATCCATTTGTTCCAGGCTCGAGCACTCCGTTCTCCCGGGTCTCCGGTGCTGCTCCCGCCGCAGCCGGACACCCGAACGCGAAGCTCCAACTCTCCAATGCTCCCCTCGTCTCGTTACCTCCTCGCCCCGGCCCCACTTCCCGCCATGGTGGTACGGCCACCGCCGCCGCATCCACCGAGCCGCGGAACTTCCCCTCTCGCTCGGCCACCATTGTGCCGCGCCATGGCGCGGGCCGCCCCCTCGCTCTCTGCCGCGGCCTCGACGGCTGCCTCCTCCTCGACGACTCCTGCCAAGAAGAAGGTCCGGTTTCCTACTCCTGACGTCAGACTCCACTATTTAGCAGTTTCAAGATCTTGATTTTGTACAGTTTGTGCTGTAAAAAGGTTCTCTTGCCCATCGCCATGGGCACGGAGGAGATGGAGGCAGTCATCCTTGCCGGTGTACTCCGCCGAGCCGGCGCCGACGTGACGCTGGCATCCGTGGAGGACGGCCTCGAGGTGGAGGCCTCGCGTGGCTCCCACATCGTTGCTGACAAGCGCATTGCCGCTTGTGCAGACCAGGTGTTCGACCTCGTGGCTCTCCCGGTAACTATCCCTATTCTCGTGCTGACCCATCTATTTGGGGAAACTATTTTAATCCCTCGAGGGGATATCCTCTCGTTCTTTGCATGTCACTCAAATGGTTATGAAAAAATTGAAAACAATTGAGAAGGTGTATTAACATGTGATATAACACTCCACGAACATGCAAGTTCAAATTCAACTTCTACATCTCGTAACGAAAAAAACAAATTAAACCGCAACTAGTTAACGTATATTCAGAGTCAAATTTGTTTTTTTGTTGCAAGATTTAGAAGTTGAATTTTTACTTGCATGTTTGTGGAGTAATGTATCACATGTTAATACATCTTCTCAAATTTTTTAAATTTTTTCATAACAATTTGAGTGACATGCAAACAACGATGGGATATCCCCTCAAGGGATCAAAATCCTCTTCCCATCTATTTGTGTGGTTAGTTGGTTACGGATGTTGACATTAGCAGTAGGAATCAATTTTCAAGATCATTTAAGTCTTTCTCTACGAAACAGAATTCAAGTACATCTAAGCACTATCTTTAGCATTGCAAAAAGTGGTCTATCACATTTTCTCAGTTTTCCGACTGATAGTAGTATCTGACAATTTCGTCGCTCTATTCCCTTTCTTGGACCTGTGGTGTTATATGTTTGTCATAATGTCACATACTGCCAGTGCCCAAAATCTTATCTTGGGTTCATGGTGTGACGTGTTCAGGGTGGAATGCCTGGTTCAGTGCGGTTGAGAGACAGTGTGATCCTTCAGAGGATCACAGTTAGACAGGCTGAGGAAAAAAGATTGTATGGTGCTATATGTGCTGCACCAGCTGTTGTTCTCATGCCGTGGGGCCTCCACAAGAGAAAAAAGGTGGTCATTTTGTGATCAGACTAAATTTAGTAAATCAACATTTGGCCTTCTTTAGCTGATATATATATATTTTTTCCTTTTGCCGTGCAAGATCACTTGTCACCCATCCTTTATAGAAGATCTCCCAACATTCCGAACTGTTGAATCAAATGTTCAGGTGTCTGGAGAGCTAACAACAAGCCGTGGACCAGGGACAGCATTTCAGTTTGCTTTATCATTTGTAGAGCAGTTGTTTGGGCCTTGTAAAGCTGAAGATATGGACAACACTTTGGTTCGTTAAAAGAAAACCTTCACGTACTTCACATCTTGTCCTTTTTAAGTTAATATGATGAATGCTCTTCAAAACTTATACTCACAAGTGAAAAAAAAATCTCTTCAAAACCACTTAGCTCTTTTCATATTATTCACTGGATTGTTGAAACGGATTATTTACTCCACGCTTAAAAGAATAAGTTTTCTCAAAAACTTTCTTCATAATATTGCTTAGACCACCTGTTTTAGGTTATTTGTTAAGTATATTTATCAAAATATTTAATTCATCCCTATAGTCAAGTAGATAATCCGCAATAACAATCTGCTCAATAACCTGTTTCAAACTGAGCCAGTTTTTTAAGAGTTGCTAAATGTTCTGCAATTTTATTTATTTTCATAATGTTTCTTATATTTCAGTTGGCTATGCTGGAAAATCTCTACACTATGTTTTGTAGCTATTGTGTTTTACATTATAACACTAATCCATGCTGATCATTGTGCAATTATTGTATAGTAATCTCTAATATTTCAAGGGATAACCCCTTCTTTCTACAATTTTTAGTGCAATACTAGTACATGATTATGATTCTACGATTATTATATAGTCAGCTAAAATTTTTAAGCAACAATTCTATTTATTTGCATTGCAACACAAATAGATGCTGACTGCTGTTCAATTATTGTGTACTCTCTTACAGTTGACAAAGGTTGACGATAATCTTGAAAGAAGTATTGAAGTCAACGAAATTGAGTGGTCTTCTGATCACAATCCTCATGTAAGTACAGAAAACAATCGTGTACCTTAGATTTTTGTGCAAGAATGAATATGGCATGATACTAATACAAATATGAAATATAGTGAAGCATAGAAATGTTCTATTGAACTATGGATAGGTTAAAATCTCAAAGATGCATGCTTGATGTAATGGAGCTCCATTTGGTTGCATATGGCCTGCAGCACTAGTATTTTGTGTAGTTGATAGAACGCCTTTTGACTTCTGGAACAGGTTCTCATTCCAATTGCAAATGGTTCAGAAGAGATGGAGATAATAATGTTGACGGATGTTTTACGGCGAGCAAATGTAAATGTGGTGTTGGCATCAGTTGAAAAATCAACAAGTATTGTCGGGTCCCAAAGGATGAGGATTGTTGCTGATAAATGCATTTCAGATGCTTCTGCCTTAGAATATGATCTAATTATCCTTCCTGTGAGCTATTTCTCATTTCATATTTTCATTTAGATATCATAAATGCCGACATATAAGTTCATTGTTGTTCCTACAAGATATTTTGCATATAGCTGGTTCATGGACTGGTACAAATCCCCATCTTATCATCATCATGATGCTTGCTTTTAACCTTATCTTGAATGTAGCTGCATATTACTGATAAAAGTAAGTCCATTCTGAAATGCATTCCTAACAAGCATGATCAACCATGGTGAGCTTTTGCTGTTCTATGCGTAGGACTTGACCTTCATACCGAATTGTGTATCAGCTCGAGAAAAAAAAAAGAAAGAACAAATATACTTATCGCTATATCCTTACATTTGGACCAGTTGTATGTGTCACTGACAGCCTTTAGGACTTCAGGATATCGCTATCACCTGTATTAGAATACATGTTTCTTCTGTTTCCTTAGACATTTTCTTTTGTTTTAGTGAAGCAGAATTTTATAGAACCACTGTCTTGGACTCTTGATGCAACTGTATTGAAGTATATTTGTATCTTATCACGTGCATGGTTCATAGCGACATCTGTACATTTCTCCGCTAAAATATTGTGTGTTGGTTGTACAAAGTGAAATCTAGGTCCCAGGATTTCTTACCATCAATGTGGTCAAAAGAATAATAAAAAAGCAGTTTCTTGGCGATTGTCAGAATTACATGTTCTTTTCGGGAAATACTTTTTATGTATATGAGATCTCTGGACTTCTTTACTTCTATATCATGAAAAAGAAGATAATCCAAAGGAAAGGCGAGAGCACCAAAAGAAACAGATGTTTTGACTTTTGAGGAGGGATTGCTGGTTGTCTCAAATCTTAATCCTCTACTGGACACAGAAAAAAAAAAGGGCGCAATGTCAATTCCTATCCTTGTATTTGTTTTGTCAATCAAATCCTTGGTTGTAGCACTGGGGACATTAGCCTTTCAAAAAACTATCGGAGACTTTGCTAGCAACCTATCTAAAATTTCAGCCCTCCAAGTGTGTGTATTTGTGCTCTCTATTTCACTTTTTTTGTGCTTTTTCAGCTAATATATTCACTTATTTTGGTTCTAATTTCATTGTGTGTATCTCTTGACATTTTCTAGGGAGGACCTGCCGGAGCTGAGAGACTGCACAAGTCCAGTGTTCTTAAGAAATTACTCAAGGAACAAAAGCAAACAGGCAGGATGTATGGTGGGATCTGTTCTTCTCCTGTGATCTTGCAGAAGCAGGGTTTACTCCAGGTGACATTCTAGGACTAAAAACTCTTGGCATCTTATATTCTCTGGCATGGAAGATAACTGCCATTGAAATTGTTGATCAGGATAAAACAGTGACAGCTCATCCTTCCATAGTCAATCAGCTCACGTGTGAAGTTATTGATCGATCAAAGGTTGTGATTGATGGAAATTTGATTACCGGGATGGGGCTTGGGACGGTCATTGATTTTTCGCTGGCTATTATTAAAAAATTCTTTGGCCATGGACGAGCCAAAGGCGTGGCAAATGGCATGGTTTTTGAGTATCCCAAGAGCTGAAACACCTAAAATATATCTGGCACTCTGTAATACGCAGACGTGAGACATTTAGTTGTGCTACAAGTATATTGCAGTAGCTACGCTTGAGACAAAGGTCACCGGTGCTCTTCGTCTTGCTGTTTTATGGGCCTTCAACTCTTCTTGAGACAACAACATATTCCTCTGTTGCGTCATTGGACATCTGGACGGAAATCATTCCACTATATTTGTTGGGATGGACCATTTACATTGAGAAGATTCGGTGGAGGTCAATTCATCTCGATATGATCTGTTGGCACATTACGACACAGGTTGATTACTAACTGGTAAGTTATACTCCCTCCATTCAAAATATTTGACACCATTGACTTTTTATAGTGCGTGTTTGACCATTCGTCTTATTCAAAAAATTTAAGTAATTATTTATTATTTTCATATCATTTGATTCATTGTTAAATATACTTTCATATACACATATAGTTTTACATATTTCACAATTTTTTTTAATAAGATGAACGGTCAAACATGTACTAAAAAGTCAACGGTGTCAAACATTTTGAAACGGAGGGAGTATTTGATAGTGATAGGCATAAATGTTTGAGTTCTAACACAAATGATCTTTTCTCCTATTCTTAGGACTATGAATACAATGTGCTGTGCACTGAAAAGATAAACCTAACATTATAGCTTATAAACTGATAATTTGGTGGTACGGTGTTGTTAAAACATTCCTTTTGCTTTTCTCCCCAAGTACTTGTGTTGCATAGATAAAGCCATTTGTAGGATATGAGCTGATATGCTGTATAATATCTTCATTCTCTTCAATTGACAGGATCTAAATATTGCAACTGATCAAGTGATGATAACCTTCTGCTTGACGGATGCGCTTTTAGAAGAAACCCATCATGTTCAGTGGGGCTTCCAAGGACCTGAAGCCCTTTTGATGTTGCTCTTATGCCCAGCTATCCAATCTGATAGTAGAGACTTCCAGCCTGCGACAAACCAATTTAGCTTCAAAATTCAGATCTTTTTTCAGCAATTTTGTTGCCTGAATTCTGAAGTTAACTGGCAATGTAGTACAATGGATTCCCTCAATTTGCTCGATAGTTGATCAGATAATTTGCTCGATAGTTGATCAAATATTTGTTGCAACAAACATGCTCACATAGCGTATCCACTTCCTTTTTTGCCCCGTTATTATCTCTACTTAAAAAAAATTCGTAGTGATGGTCTTGATTATGTTGATTCCTGCTAGATTGTGTTGATTCCTGAGAGAGCAGAAGCATATGATCAAACCAACAGCGGAATCCGAAGGTTAAGTGGAACTTCGCAAAACGCAGATCGAAGAGCCATGTACATTGTTTTTTTTTATGCGACAGCCCGTTGCCGACCTGCCTGGTAAGCAATCAAGATTCCGCTACACTTTGATGTTCTATCCAAACTCATGTCCCTAAACCCACACGTGCATAAGTGATTACCGGGCAATTTATCAACAGTAGATGCTCCATCTGTAACTTCGTTCCAGTTGAGGAACAAAAACTGCACCCTGCAAGTACTGCATATCATGCCTCAACAAAGTTCCATTTTGTCATCCGTAAACACATGAACTTTCAACTCAACTCAACCAGAACGTAAACGTTTTTACACTTCTTCAGTTCATCAGAAATTTCACAAAAGAAAGTCGTCTTAGCAGAACAACAACTTCACAAAAAGGCATCATCGGAAAAACACCATATTTCACAGCTTATTCAACGGAGACACCCCACATTCATTCACACAGCTCGATCGGCGCCCTCCTCTGCCTCTGCCCGGGGGCGCAACACGCACATACGCGCTCTACTACTTACTACTCTTCGTCCATGCCGTCCTCGTCCTCCATGATCCTCATCTTCTTCACCGCCTGCGCGGCGTCGCTCCCGGTGGCGGCGCCGTTGGGCACCTGGATGAGGATGTCCGACTTCTGCCCCGTCTCGGCGTTCACCAACCCCCCGCGGTTGTCCACCCTGTAGGCCAGCTCGTCCTTGTGCGGCGCCGCGTCGATGTACACCGTGCAGTTCTCGTCGATCTCCTCCTGGATCAGCATCTTGGACAGCTGCGTCACCACCCTCTTCTCGATCCACCTCCTGATCGGCCTCGCGCCATAAACCTGTACGTAGTACCAGAGTCACAGAGAGAGTTAGAATCAAATTCGACGAGAATTTCTTTGAAAAACTTCGACCTGATAGTTGGATGCTGTCGCGTACCGGATCATAGGACAGAGACAGAATGACGTCCAGCGCGGCGTCGGTGACGGCCAGGGCGACACCCCTCTCGGCGAGCCGGACGGCGACGTCCTTCATCTGGAGACGGGCGACCTTCCTGAGTTGCTCGTGGGACAGGGGATCGAATATCACAATCTCGTCGAGCCGGTTCAGGAGCTCAGGACGGAAGTGCCTCCTCACCTGCACAAAATATCGAAATCAATTCAGCATCGCATTGCATTGCAAATGAATCCATGGTTGTGGAAAGCAAAAGGCCATACATACCTCCTGCATGACAAGGTCACGGGCGACCTTCATGGAGTTCTTGCCGACCATGCCGGCGAGGAGGTGCTCGGCGCCGAGGTTGGAGGTCATGATGATCACGGTGTTCCTGAAGTCCACCGTGCGGCCTTGCCCGTCGGTGAGCCTCCCGTCGTCGAGAACCTGGAGCAGAGTGTTGAACACCGCGACGTGCGCCTTCTCGACCTCGTCGAACAGGATCACGCTGTACGGCCGCCGCCGCACTTGCTCCGTCAGCTGCCCACCTTCCTCATGGCCGACGTAGCTTCATTCAGAGAGAGAAATTTCCCCCATGTCAGCACCCGAAATTCGGTTGCAAGAACTGTGAAAACAACATTGGGATTGATACTTACCCAGGTGGTGCTCCGATGAGGCGAGCGACGGAGTGCTGCTCCATGTACTCGGACATGTCGATGCGGACGAGCAGGTTCTCGTCGTCGAACAGCTGCTCGGCGAGGGCCTTGGCGAGCTCGGTCTTGCCGACGCCGGTGGGACCGAGGAAGAGGAACGAGCCGGTGGGCTGCTGCGGCCGGCCAAGTCCGGCGCGCGACCTCAGCACCGCCTCGGCGACGGCGCTCACGGCCTCCGCCTGGCCGACCACCCTCTGGTGCAGCCTGTCGGCGAGGCCGACGAGCCTCTCCTTGTCGTTCTGGCCGAGCCGGGTCACCGGGATGCCGGTCCAGCGGCTCACCACCTCGGCGATCTGCTCGGGGCCGACGGTCTCGGTGAGCATCAGGTTCTCCCCCGTCTCGCTCTCGAGCTTCGCGATGGCGACGTCGATCTCCTGGAGCGCGCCGTACTTGAGGTCGGCGACGCGGGCGAGGTCCATCCGGCGCTCGGCCTCCTGCAGCGTGAACTGGAGCTCCTCGCGGCGCTGCTTCAGCTTCCTGATCTCGTCGATCCTCTCCTTCTCCTTCCTGTACTTCATCGTCAATGGCTGCAGCTTGTCCCTCAGATCGTCCAGCTCTTTCTTGACCTCGACAAGCCGGGCCTTGCTTGCCTTGTCCTTCTCCTTCTCCAGCGCGTGGTGCTCCACCTCCAGCTGAATCCTCTTCCTCTCGAGGTTGTCGATCTCCTCTGGCTGGCTGTCCAGCTGCACCCTCACGTTCGCGCAGGCCTCGTCGACGAGGTCGATCGCTTTGTCAGGCAGGTGGCGTCCTGAAGAATTACAGAGCAGAAATGGCACAAGAATGTGAACTCGAGCTTGACAATGTAGGTTGGCAATGGCAATGGCAAGGACGGCAGGAGCAACTTACCCATGATGTACCTCGCCGAGAGCTGCGCGGCGACGACGAGCGCGCGGTCCTGGATCCTCACACCGTGGTGCCCCTCGTACTTCTCCTTGAGGCCTCGCAGGATGCTGATGGTGTCCGGGACGCTCGGCTCCGCGACGAACACCTGCTGGAACCGCCTCTCGAACGCGGCGTCCTTCTCGACGTACTTGCGGTACTCCTCCAGCGTCGTGGCGCCGATGCACCGGAGCTGGCCCCTCGCGAGCATTGGCTTGAACAGGTTGGCCGCGTCCATGGAGCCCTCCGTCCTCCCGGCGCCGAGGACGAGGTGTATCTCGTCGATGAAGAGGATCACCTTGCCCTCGGCCTCCTCCACCTCCTTGAGCACGGCCTTGAGCCGTTCTTCGAACTCGCCGCGGTACTTGGCGCCGGCGACGAGCGCGCCCATGTCGAGCGCGATGAGGCGGACGTCGAGCAGGTTGCTGGGCACGTCCCCGCGCACGATGCGCTGCGCGAGGCCCTCCACGACGGCCGTCTTGCCGACGCCGGGCTCGCCGATGAGTACGGGGTTGTTCTTCGTGCGGCGCGACAGGATGCGCACGACGCGGCGGATCTCCTCGTCGCGGCCAATGACGGGGTCGAGCTTACCGGCCTGCTCGACGAGGTCGCGGCCGTAGGTCTTGAGCGCCTGGAAGTTGGTGTCGCCGGACGCGGACTCCACCTTGCGGCCCTCCCCGCCACGGAGCTTCTCGAGCTCGGCGCGCACCCGCGCCGCGGACACGCCGGCCTCCTTGAGGCAGTCGGAGATTAGCGAGTCCTCCAGGAGGCCCAGCAGCAGCTGGTCGACGGCGAGGTGGGAGTCCCCGCGCTTCTTCTGCGCGGACTGCGCGCGGCGGATGACCTTGATCAGCGCCGTGGACGCCGGCACGCTGTCCGGCGGCGGCGACTGCGAGGGCAGCTTCTTGAGCGCCCCGCTCACCACGCGCTCGAACGAGTCCGGCGCGCCGGCGTCCCCGCCGGACGCCTGCGAGATCGCCTGCCGGAGTATCCCGCCCTTGTCCGCCGCCAGCGCCGCCACCAGGTGCAGCGGCGTCAGCTGCGCGTGCCCCGCCTCCGACGCTATCTCGTGCGCCGCCACGAGCGCCTCGTTGGTCTTGTGCGTGAAGTTGTCCGGATTCATGGCTGCTCCTCCTCTCCTCACACAATCAATCTACAGCAACAAATCAAAATCTCTCGGTTTAGCTTGGATTGAGATGGGATCACTCGAAATCTTGCGGAAGAATTGCTTCGGCGTTTGATCTGAACTCTCTCTTCTGTCGATGGAAACAACGGGAGGAGCGGTGCGCGCATATGAAGGGCGGAGTGGATTGTTCGGCGGGAGTCTAGAAGGGGATGGAAAATGCCCGACGCCAACAGCGGCAGGAAGGACGAGAAGAGGCGAGACGGTGCGCGAATATTCCAGTGACATGTGGGGCCCACGAGCCTCCTACACCGTTGGATCTTAAGCGGCGCGCATCCGATGGGCGACGCGTGTGCCCGCTCTGCGAGTCTGTGGGGTCCCACGAGTCATAGTAGTGTAGTAGTGGGTCAACTCAGTCAAGTCAGGTTTTATCGGAATCAGATTGCAGCTGACACTTCCGCCCTACGAGGAGGCCACGTGGCGAGTCACCTGGCCCAGCTGTCAGAGCCAAGGCTACCAACCAGGACATGGTCGATCCAACGGCTGAGGGAAGAGGGCGTGGAGAGATCCGAGCCGTCCCCCGCTAATCCCACCAGATCCAGGCTCGCGTCGCGTCCTGCTGACTCCTCTCCTCCTCCGCCAGCCCGCGCCGCCGGAAGCGGGCAATTCGTCGAGCACCTGGTGCGCGCGCTCCGCCGCCATGGCGTCCGCCGCGCGGGCTCTGGGCGCGCTCGTCCACAAGGCCTCGTCGCTGTCCTCCTCCGCCGCCGCTCTCAGGAGCGCCGCCGTCCTCCATGGTAACCAGTCCTCGCTCGCTCGCTCACTCGTCTCCCGTCTGGCCGTCTCCACGGATCCAGCGATTGATGCGTTGGTGTGTTCAGGGAGAGGCTCTGCTGGCGGCAGCGCCAGATTGTTCCAGAGGCACGCGGCGAGGCGGAGGATTTCGACGTTCCAGCCGCTTTGCATGGGACGGCGCTCCTGCAAGATCGCCGGAAGGAAGGTGATTTGTTCTTGCCATTTCGCCCCACATCATGAATGAGTTTGGCCTTAGTGATAATTCATTAGTAATTATGCCATTTTTGGCAAGCTCTAGCCTGTATTTTGAGTAAAAATGTTAGCGTAATGGATTTTTTTCAGTTTTTTTTTTAAAAATAGAGAAGCCAGGTTCCCTCTTCCATTATAGGGAAAGCACATTTCATTTTTTTTTCCCAGTTGTCTCTGAATTTGCTATGCTGCTAGTGCTAACTTTTCATGCACATCCTTTATGTGAAATGGTCTAAATAAATTTATGTAAAATTCATGTTTGTTTCTTCCTGAATGTAATTATGTTTAACCTCGTAATATGAGATATATAATCTTACCCCAGTTGCTTCATTTTCTCAGGATGCTCAGAATTTGAAAAAGATGAAGCGCAACAGTAAAATTGGGAAAGAAATCGTTGCTGCGTAGGTGTTTTTGGATTCTTGAGTTTTTATTGCTTGCAAATATTGTTTCCTAGTAGCTTGATAGTATGGTAAGTTTCACTACTTTCCAGAGTATAGGGTTACTCCACCACATGGTCTTTCTTCTGATTTGTCTGTCTGTGTCTTCATTAAATGGCACTGTTGCGTTGTGCTTTGCATTTGATCGTTACCCTCTTTAATAGCTATCAGACACCACTACTAATTCCCTGAAGGAGATACTCTTAAAAGAGATCTTATTAAGGTTGGTTTCTAGTATTCCGTTGGTCGTGTAATCTTAAAAGAGAAGTTCAAAGGGAGTTTAAATGGCATTGCAAAAGCGCATCAGACTGAACACCACTAACTCCCTGAAGGAGATAGATCTTATGAAGTCTGGTTTCTAGTATTCCGTTGGTTGTATCTTAAAAGAGAAGTTCAAAGGGAGTTTAAATGGCATTGTAAAATCAAGCATTAGAGATCTTATTAAGATCGGTTTCTTGTATCATGTTGGCCATTTAATTTTAAAAGAGATCATGAGTTTAAATGGCATAGCAAAATCAAGCTCAGATTTCACATCAATATTGCCAGCATCAGAGTTTACGTCAATATTTTTTAGCTAACATGATCCCTTGTATGGAAATCATGCAGCATTAAGAAAGGTGGCCCAAGTCCTTCATCAAACACAACTTTAGCAGCAATATTGGAGAAAGCAAGGGAACTTGATATCCCCAAAGAAATCTTGGAGCGCAACATAAAAAGGGCTTCAGAAAAGGGCCAAGATACTTACACAGAAAAGGTTTACGAGGTAAAATTCCCTGTCGATAGTTTGACATAATACTTTGTTGTTGCATTCGTTTGGGCAATATGCTATATGACACGTATCTAAGGGCAATGCCCTGTTTACATGTAAAAACTAAGTTGGTTGGTTGGTGCTGATCTAGGGTAGGATCATGTACAAGGATTTACTGAGGTTGCTGATCACTTTGTTTCTTTCTTTTTTAAAAAAATCCAAATACATTGTCATGTGTGAAGTATTTTTCCCAGGTGTATGGTTTTGGTGGAGTAGGTATGGTTGTTGAGGTCCTTACAGATAAAATTACAAGATCTATTGCGGATATAAGAAATGTTGTAAAGGACTGTGGAGCAAAATTGGCTGATCCTGGATCTGTTACATTCAGATTCAGACAAGCTCGAGTGGTGAACATCAAAGTAACTGATGCTGATAAGGACCAACTGCTCACTGTTGCTTTGGATGCTGGCGCCGATGATGTCATTGAACCAAATTTTGATGATGATGATGATGACGACGACGACTACGATGACGACTCCTCTGAAGATGTTTCAGAAAGGTATCAACTCATGTTTAGTTGCACACGGTTTCATTTGATGCAATAGTTTTAAGTGTTAACTACGAATCTCTTGGAAAATCTAAATTATAATCCATTAGATTTGGTACTCTTATATATTGCAAATGGTCGATTAACACCAGTTTAAGTGTTGTAACTTTTTAGAAGGCACTGCATACAGAGAAGCTATGTTAAAAGTCACAGAACCATAGACAAATTAGATAACAACCTATGTACTTAACTTGGCCACATTTTCAGAGCATTCTTAAGTTTGTTCTCCAGGTAGCGTTCTTATGTCATGTGGTATTACTGGTGATTTACCTTCCACTTTGCTCCATTTAGCCGCAAACTTTTAGTCAGATATTCTGACACATCTGCTATTCTGTTGTTGCTTTTTATCTCTCCAGGTTTTACAAGATAGTTACTACATCAGAGAACTATCCTGTTGTGCTATCGAAGCTACAAGAGGAAGGACTAAAATTTGAAACTGATAATGGCTATGAATTGCTGCCTCTGAACCCGATTGAGGTATGCAATTTTCCCTTTCTCATTGTCAAGCCTGTAGGAATTGAGCAATTAATGAATTAATGCTATCATAGGTTTCTGTCAAATCATAAGTTTTCATCCATACTTACAACAAGATGTTGAACACCCTGGTTTTCTGATTCATGGTAATCAGCAATTTGTTTCGATTGTTAGCAGGATCCTACAAAATTATTAGTGGGCACTTCGCATTTGGCCATTTACCATATCGTCCAACCAAATTTTAACTTACACATGTCTAGCTTAGCAGAATATAAGCATGTGAAAGCAACTCATCATGCTACCCCTATGGATCTTTTACGATGCTGTTATCTATTGTTTCCTCCCTGTAGGTAGATGACGAGGCCATGGAACTAAACAAGGTCCTAGTGTCTAAGTTGCTTGAGCTTGATGACGTTGATGCTGTCTATACTGACCAAAGGTGACTCTGAATTCATGATCCAAGACACTCGATGCCGACGGTTCTTGGGTTACACTGTGGATTGGCAGTGGATTGGCAGAAAGCTGGTGGATGGAGCTGCCAATGGAGCCTGTTTACTTGCAGCCAGTTATATTTTGCCAAAATTGAGTTGATAATACGGCATTTTTTGTGTAACTACTTTGCACACTCGCATCTCAAACAAAGAGTTCTAAAAATTTTCCCTTCCAAGTCTCATCCCATCTTCGCCTGTAAAACGATTAGCCCATTTTTTCACTTCGTCTCACCCCATCTTCGCTTTGTAAAACGATAGGACCGACCATGCTATGGTGTTGGATCTTGACGAGCGTTCTAATAAAAAGTTTTGCCAGTTTGAAACGGCTGAAGATTTGTTCCTTTGACTGGCAGAAACTGTTGGCAAATTTCTTCAGCTCATACTGTACATCCTAAAAACAGCGGTAACTCTCCCTATGTGTAACTGTATAGAAAAAATAAACAATAAATAGCCACGTTCTCATTTTTCTAAATAAACTTCCATTGTACGTCCGCCTAAACATCTTCAGTGCAAAAGGAGTATAAAAGACACTAAACCGCGTGTTGCAAACAATGGGGCCAAAAAGCTTAGAGCAGTCTATCAAAAATTTCTTCAGCACTCCTGCTGGTCCCAAAAACATATTAGGGGTGTCAAATACTGAGTGCAATAACGCAGCAATCTCTAATCCTAGGCCTGTGGTTTTCTAGTTCTTTTGAGCTTAGTTGCAGTTGAGCTAGCAAAAGCAAATTCCAAGCAGCCACGTCGCTTTTCGCATTTACTCATTTTTATTGCCATGGGTTCTTCTTTCGGCCCGCCGCATTCGTTGAGCTAGCTTTGGAGCCCTGCGGATAAGCAAGCGAAAAAAGGTTAAATGTGTTCAAACTTCAAAGTTATCAGAATAGGGGTGTGAAAATTAAAAATTTGCCAGACTTACAGATTTCAACTTCTTCAACTTGCCCCGAACCCTATTCTTTTGAGGTTTCAGTTTATATATACGGACCATCCAGTGGTGGGTTGTGAAAACCTTTATGATTTAAAAGAACGATAGGAAAACGCCAAGCAAACGATTGAGTTAGAAAAAGATGAAAATAAAACGACTAATTGGAAAGAGGAGTAACATCGCATTACCTCCTCAAAATGTGTTAGTTTGAAATGCTTCTTTCCTATTTCATATCCTCTTACTCTATCAAAACCTTTGCCATCGGTCTCAACGAACCTGGAGGAAACAAGGAAAACAGCCAAATGTAAAAAAAAAAATATTGATGACAACTAAACGTTATCTATTGAATTCTGTTTGTCAAACCTGTAATAGCAAAGCTTGTACATGAGGCAATTCAGCATAGTTGGGGTGCCTTGAGCATCAACACGATAGTTACCATCCCTCTGGCAACAAAATAACATGAGAAATCAGAATAGTGAATCAAGCTCATATATTTGTTTCACTATTTCTATTCTTCCTTATGCCCACCAAAATGATGTGTAAGGCACCATCCCTAAAAAGATTCACAACTCACAAGATAATCAGGTTCCTTGATGTGAGGGAATACACCACCTCCTATGCGAACCATCCAAAGGAACTTGTTAATATCATCGCTAGGGTAGCCAACAAGACCTGTAAAGTAAACACCCAACGTCAGGGATCTGGGGCCACTAGTTATTGATTTGTTCTAAAGAAGTCCACAAAGCATCAACCTCCAAATACAACAAGGACATATTTGACATCTAAAGAATTGAAGATCTCCCAAGCTGCTTTTTCTGGAGATGACATCGCTGTTCCAACTGTTGCTATGTGGGTATTATTCCAAGTATTATTGTCTACAATTACAGTCCTGTTGGCCATTGCAGTTGTTTGATAACCATAATCCCACCAGGACGCAACCTGCAGTGGACCGTCTTACTGTCAGAAAAACACAGAGCACTTAGAAATAGAGGGCAAGGGATGAGCGTACCTTGTCATCAACATCTGTGTTATGGCTGAGCCATGCATAGGCTTCACGGAAATCATCAAAAACATGCAATCCATCACGCGAACGAGAAGTCAACACAATTGAAGGAGCTGAGTACGCCTCAGCTGCTGCCCACACACAATGGACCTACAAAAATGCATCTCCTAAGATACATCCAGACATCACTTATGGTATGACTGTTCTTTCTGTAAGACTAAGAATATTTAACTTACCACATAGAAACCACCTAACACGATCAGCAACAAAATGCCCAAAACAGATGCCTCCATAGGAAGTACCAAAAGCTTCTTTTCCTTTTTAGGCTTTACAGGAACACTTTCAGCCACTTCCTTTTCCTTCTTCCGGTTTTTCTTTGATGGTTTTTCCTTTGGGGCTGTTTCAGTTTTTTCAGGTCTAGTCTCATTTTTTGCTGAATTTGTGGAGACAGTACTAGCGCTAGAACTCTCTGCACTACTATCCCCTGACTTAAGTTTCAGAAGAAATAAGTTGTCAATAAGTTTGTTAAGGATGAAGCCAGGTAATTATTAACAGAGTAAAGAAAAACAATGAAGAAAGCAACCGTACAGCAGCAGGGCTGTCATCAAATAATTTTGATAGCTGATATTTAACGGATCTTGTGAGGACGTCGAAAGCCTCAGAAAGAGCGATTCCAGATAAAATGCACGCAGCAGGAGCAAGGACAAGCATAAGCCGCACCTAAAAGAGAATATATGTAAAGAAAAGTTAATAAATAAATACTAGATAAACATTGCTTTATAGATGCTTTTACATTACACATATTCTTACCATTACTCCAGAAAAATATACTGCGGTGACCAAGTACAAGACCACGAAGGAGCTTGCATCAGATAAAGGCAAGAAGCATGACTGTTGACAATGTCAATATTAACTAGTAAGAACAAATACTTATGCTAATTCAATTCGGATTGAAAATGTAGACTGCTTACAATGATCCCAGCAGGAATCAAGAAGGCCAACACGTTGATATCCATGAAATAGGAGGGCCAGGTAGGGGGTTGATGTTCGCTGACACTAGCAATAATAGGGATGTACTTGCTTGCATAGGTTCTGTAAAAAAAAAGCAGGAAAAAACGTGAAGTTATGATGCAGAAAGAGAACCAGAAGAAAATAAACTCCAATATGACATTGTGATATACTCCATTCAGAAAATCATGCATCAGAAAGACTTGCTTTCATTTGTCTAAAACAGTAAGCATAAAAAATGGGCATTGTTTTTATTATTTCAGCCGGTCAAAATTAAGTATTATTTCATGTAATGGTTCCCAGCCCGTACGGAAAATAAACACCAATAGGACATTGAGATATACTCCATTCAGAAAATCATGCATCAGAAAGACTGCTTTCCTTGTCTAAAACAGTAAGCATAAAAAAAGGGGCATAGTTTGTATTATTTCAGCTGGTCAAAATTAAGTATTATTTCATGTAATGATTCCCAGCCCGGTACAGCAAAATAACATAATATTTATTTTCCATGGTAAAAAAACTTACGGATCAAGTAGACTCAAACTGCGCCCACTCCATCCTTTTGTGGGGCTAGATGCCACCAAAGCGATGAGTATAGCTATTACTGCAAAACAAACAGCCCTGGAGGAAGGATGTTGCCATTAGCATATGTGGGTTAAGATACCATCTCAAATAAAGAAATTAAATGTTTAAATTCTGATGGATAGATGGTGATTATTGGTCCAAGGAATAAACAAGCTCAATGTCTAGTTTCTCATGCACCTGACAATAAAAAAAGCAAGAGACTTACAAGCCAACTGTTATGACAAGAGTCATAGCTACTTTGAACAGCCTGGGAGTTAGAAGTCCTTTTATGTAATACACAAGAGCAACCACATGAAGGATTATGAACACCTGCAATTAAAGTATACTATTATCAATGAAATTATTGGTGGCTTATAGCAATTTTCTCCGATGAAGTTAGGAGATAAAGTTCACTGGTTATTTATTCTAATAGGGCAAAGTGGGTAAATGATCTGAATGAAGAAAATTCCACAAGGAAGAAAAGGTGTGCATAAGCCAATGAATGTATATACCAGAAATGATGCAAAGTGCTCAGACGTCATCACTGCATTAAAACCAACCACGGGTACTAAGGCTGCCAGAAGTGTTCCCAGTATAACCTGCAAAATGATAATTATCTTATTAGGTCAGTTTCCAGACAAACAGTATCACTGAAACGTTTAACTCCTTTTATTTTGTTTGTTCAAAATGAAGAAAGAAAAGGATGATGTTATGCACTTACAAGGGGAGCATAAGCAATGTAAAGCCGTGAAGAATAACGACCAGTGACAATGCACAACAGTACATGAATTGGAATAAGGTTGATGATGAATGTGTAACCTCCCCAAGAACAGACCTGCACAAGGTTGTTGCTTGATTATAAAGGACATTGGAAAACATGGGTTCAAATTATCAGATATTACCATGTAGAAATATGAGAGAGCATTGAGCGTTGCATAAAAGAGTGATCCTGTGTTCAGTGTCTGCAAATCATTTGAGAACAGGTCAGTTCATAACGCTATGTTAAAGAGGCAACAAAAACAACCCATGCACCATTACCTTTACATATAGATAAAATGTGAATATCAAAGCAAATATTGCTACGGCTTCATTATCATAGCTTCCTGCAACGGATCTTGAGATGTATGAGGGAACCTGTAATAAATGATGTGTGATTTGAGTGTGGAAAAGAAGTGTAATGTGGAATGTGGATTCAGTATTGCTACGGCTTCATTATCATAGCTTCCTATTACTATGACAAGTGTAATGTGGAAAAGAAAATATATGGATCATAATCGAGTCAAAATACTATAGTAATCTTTCATGATAAAAAAAAAGCCTAGTAGAAAAATCCATAGTGCAGATTACCATTGCCAAAATAGCTGCTGCCATCAATCCAGCCCCAGTGCCTTTGGCTTCCTATGGAAGGTTAAAAGAAATAAGCACAATTATTTGTATGAGTACCAATAGTGTGAGAACTAGTGCTTCCGGGAGAGGAAAAAATAACACCTTTGTTAAAAGGTAAGTAGCCCAGGAAGCGTTTGCTGAGAATATTGGAGCAGTGAACACACAAACAGTCTCCACTGACAACGGAATGTTTAGAGAATTTAGCAACCTGCAAAACCAATCAAATATTTTAGGCACATCCACAGCATTAATGAGGAACAGACAAGTGCTTTCCTTTGATAACATACCACCAAATGGTTCCAGCTGTCAATGTCAAACCAGGATACACAGTGCCGCCAATCACACGGCCAAGGGGATACCTAAAACAGAAGCAACAGCAAGGGAATCAGCCAAGTAGGCGTATTACACATTCTATTTTACATCATGATTACACAATACTCCCTCCATCTACTTTTGATAGGCATATTCCCAAATCTGAAAAATTTACTTTTGATAGGCATATTTCAATTCAATCACCTATCATCTTAATGACTTTCTAGGATTTAATGCGTGACTCTACATTCTTCCACACAAGATTGGCTACATGGGCATCGAGAAATGTAAATATTAATGAATCGCTTGTTTACAAGGAATAACTAGTAGCATGTTTAAATGGATGATAAGTAGAATTACTTATCCTTGGTCATTGTGCCAAGATGAAATATGACTATCAAAAGTAGATGGAGGGAATATTAAATTATTCATCTGACGTAAGGCTCTTACCATGTCCTGTCATCAAACCAGTTCCAGAACTCGTAGATCCCATTCTTCGACAAAAACTGTAATAGGTAAGATGGAAATTTTAGATCTGATGTAATCCACAACTGATTCCAGCAAGCATGTAACCATCTGTTGCTCCATACTTCCACTAATCATCCAGTAGTAAACGAAAATATACTCCAAAATCACTTTGCAAAACCCAAAACCCACTGACACCAACACTCTGAAATCAACACAACATTGCAGTCCCCTATGATTCGAGCTAAATTCCTTAAATCCGCATACTCCACAAAAATAATAACACACAAGATGGAAGCTCCCCGCAATCCAACCTGAGTGACGCGGAAGTTGAAGTAGGGGTCGAACTCGTGGATCACGCTCTCGTACTTAATCACCTGAGGCACAAAAAAAAAACGAAGGGGCCGATTAAGAATGCACAATTCCGAAACGCGAGACGAACGGCGAGCCGGATCTGGCCGCCGCGCGAGGTGGAGTGGGGGGAGGGGGCGGATCAGATCTTACGGAGAAGAGGCGGATCGAGAACGCGAGGACGCCGATGAGGAGGAGGGTGAAGGCGCACAGCACGCCCCCGCAGGCGTTGCGGAGGCGGCTGCCGCCGGCCGCGGCCGTGGAGGACTCGGGCTCCGCCATTGCGGCCGCGTCGTGGCTGTGGGTTTGGGGGTGTGGGGCGGAGACGAAGCGAAGACCTCGCGAAATCGCGATCGCTAAGGCAAAGCACCACCAAGGCGCTTCCAGTCCAGTGTTGGGATTTTCGCGGGTAGGACCTTGGACATTATTGTATTCTAACAACAGTATGTTATGGAAAATGCTAATTACTGTACCTATTTTGAAACATCATTTGACATTGAAAAAAGAAGAGTCTATTTTGTTGTCACTTGACCTGCTAAACTATTTTTTCCTCATTATAGCTATAAATTATTTTAAATAGTTCACTTTATTAACTAATAATATTTTTTTCTCTATAAGTTGTATTTTTAAGATGCAAGTTTATAAAGCCATGGATGACAACATTATCAAGTTCAAAAATATTTCAATGTTTCACAATCGTTTGCTTGATCTTTGATATCTCAATTTCAAACTAGTTTTAGGTGCTTACAACCTATATAAACAATATAAGAAAAATTTAAAAATAATATTAATACATAAGCTGTAATACATCTTGGGATACCAAATACTTATTTATTAAGTTTGGTGTGTTCACCAACGGATTCCTACTCGGAGGCTGTGTTTAGTTCACACTGAAGTTTGAAAGTTTGGTTGAAATTGGTACGATGTGACAGAAAAGTTGTGTGTGTATGAAATGTTTGATGTGATGGAAAGTTGGAAGTTTGGAAAAAAAAACTTTGGAACTAAACAGGGCCGGAGTTGGGCTATGACGGTTTGATCGTCTATATGCTGTTGATCTGACTAGCCCTACGACAGTGTTAGACTGGACTCGCATGGTAAGTCTGGGTCCTTTTCAAATTTGTTCATGTTTTCCTATTCTTGCTATAGTGCTAAATTTAAGTGGTAACATGTTGTTCTAGTATGGTTCAAATCCATCCTGAATTATAATGTTTTGGGACAGACGAAGTCCTTTTTATAAAATCATCTCTTACATACGAAGACATATACTCCATTTATAGGCAGGGCGTCTACACAATTTTGGTGCCCCGGGACAACATGCAAATTAGGACCCTAATTTTACCTTTGATATAGTTGTCCATATAAATTAATTACGGTCATGGTAAACTCATTCAAAAGAAGAGTAATTTGGTAGAAACATTTAGTGGGTCATGCGTGCAACTCAGTAATCGAGTATCTGTCCAGTCTAAATGTCTAATGAGGTCGACGAGCCAAAAATCATGCTTGTGGGTAAGGGCTCTAGAAAATCTCTTTTCAGCTTTGTTCCCTTAAGTAAATGGCTCCAAGAGGCATCTAATCAAGACACTGTTTCTAGACACAAAGATGGTTTGCTCCAAGCCTTGCCATGGGTTGAATCTGGTGAGCATGAGGAGAAGGACTGTCTGTTCAACCCGTGTACTGGTTACCGCATGATCTATTGGAACAGGCACAAAGAGCTGCTGCAGCTGCAGCTGCACCCAATGTGGAAAGCGCCTATCAGTTGCTGTGAACAAGAAGGCAATCCTTTTGCTATTGACAATAAGAATGTTGGCTTGGCATTCAGCCAGGTGATTCAGGATCATGTTGTTGTCGCGATTTTCTATGACTGGAGAGACTACAAAACTCGTGGATATTACTTAAGATGCGTGATGTTTGGTTGTGGCTTTGGATACAGCATGCATCTTCCTGGGCCGCCTCTGCCTGTGAATGACATGCCACCTGCTTCTCTGGATGGGTTCCTGTACTGGATGAGCGACTAGCGAGCCAAGGTTGGGTTGGAGTTATGAGCGGGCCATTGTCTCTTTTGATGTTACTGCTAAGATCTTTGATGTTATCCCTTGCCCTTCATGCATTGCAATGTGGGACAATGAAAGTCGCTGTCACGCATTTGTGGTCGAGCTTCAGAGGATGTTGTGTGTTGTTCTTTCAGATCCAGTTGCAGATGAGTTAGATATATGGAAGTGGGATCATGGTCTGTGGACTAGAGCATACACAATCAATTTAAAACTCTGGCCAGATTTTTCGCTTGCGACAAATGTTGTAGTGCCTCTCGCAGTTGATCCAATAGATGGAAGGGTTCTACTGAATACTGGGAGGAAGCTTGGTTTATATAATCCATTTAATCAAGCGATTGAAAACTTGTATGCACTTGATCAGGCATCACTTATGACTCTAAAGTGCAGCGACGGTGCCCTGGAGTTCGTCAGAAGTGCATTACCAGATGTGGGGATGTTCCTAGCAAGTTCTCTTCATTGAAACTATCTATGGCTCCATGTGACAACATTGCTAGCCCTTCAAGTGCTTCATCAAGGAATAAGGAGCTAAATTATGTGAGCCCAAAGATTATGCCTGTGGTTACTATGCTATATGAGGAAACCCTAGCTTACTATCCTCAAGTTGGCAGAGCGAGGGGCGTGGACTTAGGCTCCGTTCTTTAGTGGGAGTTGGGAACTCTCCCCCAAACACACAAAACGGAGTGGTCCATTAGCGTGTGATTAACCTACCATAGCCGGACCCGAGGGGATTGTATGGTTGAACCTTTGTCCAGAGCTACCATTTCCAGTAGCACAAAGTGATTTGGCAGTAGTTTCTGGGGATTTCTTGGGCCGTTTGCTTATCATCTTCTGTGTCATCCATATGCTACTCCCTCCGTTTCACAATGTAAGACATTTTAGCATTTCCCACATTCATATTGATGTTAATGAATCTAGATAGATATACATGTCTAGATTCGTTTACATCAATATGAATGTGGAAAATGTTAGAATGACTTACATTGTGAAACAGATGGAGTATTTTGGACTAGTATTGGTGCAACAAGTTACTGCAATAGGTTATTCTAACATGCTTTGATTTTGGTAGTAACAGAGTGATTTGCAAATTTCAGGAACAACAAGGGAGACAGCCTTGCTGCTTCCTACTACCACAAGGTGAGCAAAACCAGTGCTGTTGGAGCAGGCCTGGCTCGCAGCTTCTCGAGCAACTACTCCATAATCATATACACACAGTTTGGGGTCGATCCCAAGCAGGACCTTAATTCTTCTGTTCTCTTCTCTTTTTAGATTTTTTAGTGCATGCGGTTTGTGGCTACAAACGGGTTCGTGTGTATGTGTGTGTATTTATTTATTTATTTTCCTAAAAAAAGCAAAGAAGAAGAAAAAAATGGCTCACAATGAGATTCGAACTAAACTAAGCCTGTCTGTGATTTTAAAGTAGGCAAGAGCCATTGCCTTTACACGTATTAATTGCCACAGCTTCATTATCAATTTATCATAGCTTCCAGCAACATATTTAATAATTATTCTTAAAAAAAAATGAATAAATGTAACTTCTATAAACTGAAATGGGACATTGGGGAAAAGCAGAAGATTATGCAACACAATTAAAAAATCATGAATCCAAATAACTGGTGAATTCAGCCAATCTATTCAAGATGGTGGCAACAACCACCAAATTATGTAGTATAAATATTTTCGAGTGCCAGTACAACACAATTTCGGTTATTCAGCAGCCTCCAGCAAGAATTTTTTTTAATCAACTGGCATTGATAAATCAACAGTAATGGATACTCAATCAAATTGTTCTCCCCGATCATTTTTAAAGCTGAAATCACCTAATTTTCCCTAAATTAATCCCAAAAAATCTCTGTATTTTCATCATTTCTATGGAAATTTTTTTTTTCATCCCGAGCTATATAGCAACCAGCATACAACAACTGCTCTCAGTGAATCATAATATAGAAGTGCAGCCAAAAAAGAAAAGGTTGCAAAATATGAAGGTTACATCGCCAAAGATAAGTTCCCTCTCCAATTTCTCTAAATCTTAGGCAAATTTGCTCCTGGACCTTTGGCACGCTGACATCTTGCTCACCACCACGTCCTCCAAGAGGACTAGTAACATAGAAGAAACATGGAAAGGTTGAGGTCATAGGTCCTCAAAATGGCAGGTTAAATGCCAAATATCAAATCCATCACATTCGTTACAAGAGATTTTGCTGGTGCAGCAACGCTACCTGTTGCACGACGGTTAGCGTCTCTGATAACATTTGTGTTAGCTTTAGGATCATAGGGGCGTGGCAAGGCTCCCAACTGATTCGACGCACCGGTACCCTTCAGAACAAGAGACTTTGGAGGCAAGGAAACCATGAAGCCTCCTTGTTTGTTTCCAGCGAACCTCTCATCGAGCTGCTGCCTATGCATTGGATCAATAGGCTTCACCCCAATAATGACGCCACTGCTTAGCTGGACACCATTCTTTTGAAGGGCTTTCCGAGCATCATAAGAGTGCTTCAAAGCCAAGTACACAAACATTATTGTCAGTATAAGACCCAGACCAGGACTGAAAATTGTCAGTTTTGTCATATCAACAATGTGAAATTCTATGAAATATCAGCATGAGCACATCCGGGATAAAGGTTTGTAAAAAAAAGGTTGGTTAGACAATGGCTTGTACAAAATTTCAAAGAGATCAATATTCAAACAAAGTCCAATAGGCTATTAATATGTAAATAAAAACTACCACTGCCACAACAATGCTACTTGATGACATAAGGTGCTTGGAAAATTTATTTTTTTAAAAGCCTGAAATACGAGCAAATCAAAATTATTCTCTTACGAATAGTATGTTATGAAACTTAATAACTTGCAAGCATATGTAAGCCACTAGAGAACTACATCACTAAGGCACTATGACTGTTTACAAGGTAATCAAAAGGTAAAAAATAAAATGGAAGCCTGTTTATAGTTATCATTACCAGATATAATATGTGGATCCAATTACCATCTCGTGGACCAGAGTGATGCCGCAAAATTACTCCGCATTTCTCAAATTCCCGGATAACAAGGTTGGTATCTTTAAGGGAGAACCTGTAGGGGGAAACAACAGATATAAGAAAAAACAATTAGTTGCATCAGGGACATAATAACATTTAAGGTTAACAAACATCCGAGATATGCAGACGATGGCGGGGCATTCTCAGGCAAAACCTATTAAGTATAAACAACTAACAAAGTAACACTACAGAACTTGGTTCATCACCTCATTGGCATACATGCTAGAGGAGCAAGAAAATGACAGTAGGCATAAACTCATACTGCGGCAATATAATTCTCCCAGCTAAAACGGTGCATGATCGACGCCAACCGCAACACCAAGGAATTTACCATGTAATTGCGTTTCTACCTACATAGGACAAAGAACTGAAAAACTAGGCATCATTTCCTTACCCGAATACAGTGATCCACTCCTCCCGATCTACCTCCCCTCCTCCGTTCATCTCCTGCTCCATACCAGTCGACACAGGTGCCGGAGTAACAGGCGACTGTGCCTCGGCGGCCGGAGGCGGAGGCGCCGGGGTACCAGGGCTCGGTGGAGGCGGCAAAGCAAGCACCTCCTTCCGGGGCGGCTCCACGACCCCATCCATGGGGGATCCGGGGGCGGAGGCCCTGCCGCGGGAGCGGTCCCATGACGGGGAGCGGCTGGCGGCGGCCGCGGCGGAGCGCGGGGAGGGGGAGGAGGCGACGGGGAGGAGGAGTTCGGAGGCCGCGGCGTCGGGGGAGAAGTCCACGGCGGCGGCGCGGTCGTCGAGGGTGAAGAGCGGCGGCGGCGGCGGCGTCGTGGCGGCGGTGGGCCCCGCCGCCGAGGAGGCGAAGCGGGAGGCCGCGCGGTGGGACGGGATCGGGGAGGCGAGGTCCCGGAAGAACGGGGACTGCCGCGCGCCGCCTCCGCGGCGCGAGGTGGAGGCGGGGGAGCGCGAGGAGGAGGCGGCCATGGGCGGGGCGGGGCGGCGCGGCGCGGGGGTTGAGGGTTTGGACTTCGAGCTGGCGAGTCTCTCTTCCCCTTTCCCACCTGCAACCGACCGAGCTGGAGAGGAGGAGGAGCGGGGGTGTTCGTTGCGGGGAGCGGAGCGGATGCCTCTGACTCGAGTCTGGTTGCTTTATTGGGCCACTTCGTATGCTTGCGTGTCTGGCAACTTGCGAGGTCCAGCCCGAATTCTGGCCTAATTATTTCGCTCATGATTATGATTATTGGGGAAATATCTCGTGAAAACGAGTTAAGGGAGTTAAGGGTTAAAAGCTCATGAAAATTATACCTAAAATTTTTATAAAGTTATAAAAATATGTTATTATAATATATATATATATGAAATATGTTCTCATCAAATTTCAAGTCCAAACTCAACTTTATTCAAAAGAAACAAAAATAACAAATTTCAAGTGAATAGTGCCATGTTACTATGCGTTCGAAATTTATCTTTTTTACTCTAATAAAGTTAAGTCTGAACTTGAGAGGTCAGAATGTATTTCATATCTACATATATTTCTAATAATTTTTTTCATGAATTATATTTGATTTTCACGAGTTCCCCACACTTACCTCGTTTTAACCCGATATGTCATCTATGATTATAGAACAAAATTTAAATTTTATAACTTAATTTTAAATTTAACTTTTTTTGTTTTTCTCATCGTAGTTTATTTTACAACATTTGCTTTTGAATTACTAAAGAGACATATATATAAAAGTTTTACTAACATATGATTTTTATTTATTAATAAGCAATTTGGGATTAAAAATATGAATAAGCAAAACAATGGATTAAACATATGAATAAGCGAAACAACGGGGCTCTTCACCAACGGACATGAAAAGCACTGACCGACAGACTTGTTCAAAGGGCGAGAAATTTCATCGAACTTTGTTGGAACTACTCCTACAATACAATATTTCCATATTTGCAAGAATCTAATTTTGTTGGAACTAGTGCACAAAGTTCCAGCTCTGCAAGAAAGAGATTCAATTCCCAGTAGATATGGACTAGTTGGGAACTTGGGAATACAGAACTTTCACAGCAAGAGGCTTCACACCAAGGATGTTTGACAAGACAAGTCACCTCTACGCATTTTGTGCTTCCTCTGGACATACGGTACATATGATCCGTTACTTTGAGGAAGGTGATAACCTACTACTTCGAAACTACAGATACTTGTTCATTGTCCCAAAGTAAAATCCACTCGCTGGAATGCGCTAACATGTGGGTAGACTACAATGACATGTGGAGGAAAAGATTACAACCAACGGCAATTTTGAATCAGCCACTCTAGAACTGGATCTTGAAGAATTGCTTCAGAGTTAGCCTGAGAACTGGGTAAAGCATCCCAAGGATTCTGACCTCCTGTTGTGGGACTACAAGCATAAGATACCACCGTCAACTGAACCCGACAATTGGTTTGAATCTTTGAAGGAATCAGTGTGTCTGTAGTCAGGATGAACAAAATAGTGAGTGGAAGGTGATTCTCAAACAACCATATGAATATGCAACTTGCATCAATAAATACTGTGGTTACTATTTTTTTTGGGAAAGAGTAATGCAAGCTAGTGGGTATTCGTGGGTCCTTCAAATTTCATTAGATAATAAAAGGCAGATGTATTCAAACCAGAAACCATCAGAAATCTAACAAGAAAGAGGTGAAAGTCTGAGGCTGACCATGTCTGAGATGCAGTTCATAGTAAAGACAACTTCCCAGTAACTGAATCTATGTCTGCTTTCCTCCCTGCATCACAAGATCATGATATATTATGTTGTGTGCCACATGATTCTAAAGATATTACTGGTTTACTTGGCTAAGAGGCTTCATTTGTTGGTATTTCCAAAATTTGCATAAAGAACCTAAGGACCATCCTCTTTTAAAAGAATTAGCACAAGATAACCGCAAGGCAAACTTCCAAGTCATGGTAAATATTTGTTGCATTAACAAACAAAATAAGAACACTATGAGATGGACTTTTTTTTACATGAAAACTATGAGATAGATTCCAACTCATATATACCGTTCAAACTTCAAACGCACAAATCTGAGACAATTTGCAGCTAAGAGACACAAACGTGACATTCTGAGTGAGAAACCAACCTGGCCCTACTGCAAGAACTGTCTTAGACCCAGCTTGTACCTACATTAAGAATAAGAAATAGCAAGGATCAGGGTAAATAAGATTTTTCTTTTAGATAATGAAAAACCCGGCCTCTACATCCAGATGGATGTGCACAGTCACGGGTAAATAAGATTGTCTCCTAAAAAAAAAGAGGAAATAATGTAGCAATAGTTTCATAGCATAGCTGCCACAATTTATTGGTTATGCTGGAAAGTCACAAATGCTACAAGTATGAAAAATTCCACCCTATGAATAAGAAAGTAGAGTTGTAGAAGCACTATAAACAGACCTGTGTTCGTCCTGCATCAGCGACAACAAATGTTGGGATACCTCGATGTTCTGCGGTTTCCTTAATCCTATTCCTGTAATGCATGATAAGAAAAGGAGTGCTACATCATCATCCAGTAAATATTGTTCAAAGGAACATGTGTGCTAGGCAAAGCAACAGCTTACATTTCCTGCTGATTCTTGCATGTTAAAACAATCTTAGCTTGTCCAAATTGCTCCCACTGTCTCAAAAGACCCCGGTTGCTGCAAACAGATGTATCAGATGAATGGTGATTGGAAAATCTTCAACACTGCTAAGGTCAGGACATAGCTCCTTGATACTGGCACCTATAGACTAGTCTTACAAGAGCTATATGAATCCAGTGCAACTCAAACCTCATGGATGCTATGTGATTTTCTTTCATACAAATAAAACAAAATATCAAACTCATGATAACCAAAACATGAACCGATACTTGTAAGCAGTGTCAATACAGTTTTAGATGCATAGGTAAGCAATATGTTTGTACAGATAGTCTACTACATATTTCAATTAGAACTACCTAAGTGAGAAAAATTGCAAACCGCGTTAGCACCTTGCCATCAGTTCTGCATACAGACCAGTTGCTGCATCTGCAAACAAAATAATGTAGGTTGTAGGTGATTCATAGTACAAGAGATGGAAACATTCAACGATCGGGCAACGAAAATAGGTCTATCCAAAAAAAAATGTTTGAATATTTTAGTCGATAGAAGACTTAAACTGGAGCAGCTTTCATTACAATTTGGTTGTTGCTGTTCTGTTGACAATAGTCTACACTTCTAGGATAAGTCAAACAAAAATTAGTTCTATTTGAGCAAAGCACAATAGCCTACACTTCGAGGATAAGTAAAAAAAAAAAAAGGAATTGAGGAAACAAAAATGCTTCTACTAATGTTCCGAAGTTGAGCTTACGAGCACATTGAGAAGCTATTTTTCCAGCCCGCATCTTGAGGTCCTTACGCACGACCAAAACCTGCAAAAGGAGTGCCAAAACTCAGAACAAAGTTCAGCTCTACAGTTGCGGAATTACACCAGCAGACAGTCCGATATCACACGAGTTCTTTCGAACAATTCCTGGTATATTGAGATGCAATCCAGTATAGAAGAAATCTTAGAAAGTTTTAAGCTACCATCTTAAGCTCTTCGCCGCCGATGCCCCCGCCAGCGGACGACGAACCACCCGTCCGCTTGGAGCCCCGCGGCGCCGGGGCAGCCGGAGCCAGCGGTGGACTCGATTGGGGCCTCCATGAGGAGGTCAAGTCGACGAGTAGGCCGAGGAGGAACCCAATCGCGAGCCCCGGGAGGAAATTCCCCGGGCGAAGGCTCGCCGCGAGCCACGGGTCCTCGCCCTGCGAGAGCAGAGAGACGAGCGGGGTTAGGGATCGGGAGCAGTAAGTCCGGCGAGCGGCGGTGCTCTCACCTTCCTCCTGCTGCCGCGCTCGGGGTTCGGGGTTCGCCGCGGCGGCGGAGCAGCCATGGCCGGGGAAACCGTCGGTTCGTCGAGGTGGGGGGAAGGGGGAGGAGAGGACGGGGCAGGGTGTGTGCCTGGCGATAACGGATCTCCAGATGGGCCGATGGTTTACTTGTCTCGTAAGGATAATGGGCCAGTGGGCCGTATTGTATGTTTGGGCCTTATCGGTTAGTTAGAATTTGAACGAAACCCTTCAGGTAAAGATGGATGGTGATATTGCTTGGTTTGATATGTTTTTCATATAAAAAATGTGGCGACGTAAATATAGTTACTCCCTTATTCTTTATGCAGAATCATAAAGTTGGAAAATATCATCATGTTTATTACTTGAGATGTTCTTTTCCTTTTATAGATTTTGGATTAGTATGGATATGTTTTCCTAACGCTCAATCAACCAAGTAGGATCTAAATAAGATACTAAATAGGATCCGAAACAGCAGGAAGAATATTGTACAAATTCAATTATGCTCTCACTATCTACTAGTACAAAGTGTAGTGGTACGAACATGGTTTAGAGTGAGCTGTATGCTCCGAGATAGCTCGAAGGTTGACCCAGTAACGAAAGCACGATGCTTTCCATACAAGAACAGAGAACTTAGCAGCTTCATGCGTTGTACGCGGGGCCTCCTGATTTGGCCAGGCATCCCGGCGCCGCGAAAAATTAAGTTGGGCACATGCCCGCTGCACGGCAAATGAAAGCACTACTTTTTTGCACCGGAATTCAGAGTACGCCCTTGCTTTGTTGTCGTCGATAGTTTGGCTCAGATGGAATACCGAATACGTGCCTCTTTCTTGGACGTGCACGCGTTCACAGTTGTGATAAGCTCGCAAAGCAAAGGCCGAGTTTAATTGCAAACTTTTTCTTCAAACTTTAAACTTTCAATTTTTCTATTGTATCAAAACTTCCCTATACACAAACTTTTAACCTTTTCATCACACTGTTTCAATTTCAACCAAAATTTTAAATTTAGAGTGAACTAAACACACCCAAAACTGATGTTCACGAACCGCAATAAATCAGCTGTCACCCCCCACGTCTTCTGTTCTGCTTTTCTTTTTCTTTTTTTTTTGGGTCTGAAGAATTGGAACAGTTCGTTCATCCCCCAGAAAGTCTTCAAACGCAGCATCCACTCCAAGCAAAGTACTAACGAGCACGACTGCACGACGCCCCCTGTTTATCAAAAATCATTTCTCATCTCACGACTCGAACAGCGCTTGCACATCAGAAAATCGCAGACAGGTTCACGGGCTCTCGCGTCGCGTTCGCGTCGGAGATATTTTTGCCCTCCCTATCAACCTTCACCAATCACTGCGTCTGTACACGGGAGCACGGCGGCACAGGGGAAGGTGGAGCCTCGCGTGACGTGACGACGACGACGAGAGGTGGCGCGCGACGTGGCATTGACCACGTACCGGAGCCGGGTGCGGGCCGTGCGGTGCGGGTGGTGCGGCCCGCCCCCGCGCGTCGGTCGGTCGGACCCCGCCGCTCACATGACTCCTGACACGGCTCGCCAGCTAGCACTCACGTGGCCGGCGGGACCCACACCACCCCATCACCTCGCTTTATAAATGGGCCGTGCCGTGGAGAACGTGGGAGCGGATAGAATATTTGGCCCGTGTAGTCCACTTTGTCAGAGAAAGGGGAAAAGCCCTCGAATAAAAGAAGTCAAAGAAATGAAAGAAAAGATAAAAAAATGAGAGAAAAGCTTAGGGACAGCGATAATATTATGTTCCCATCGTTCTCTTGGTTTTTCCTTGTGCGGCCATGCATCATTGGACGTTGTAGGGTAACAAGTGATGAGTATTTTTGTTTAGAAGTGTGGATGTTTTCCACTCCACCTTAAACAGTGCTACTACAATGTCAACGGCCCACAAAATTATGCGTGATTTTATTTGTCAGGGCATCTCTTCTAATTTGCAGTGCGTTGATAATCGGCCTGGTACATAAACGAGGACGGTAGATTTTAAAATTACAAAGCACAAGGTGTTGTACTACTAGTACGTACTTTTCTACAGTACCACCGTTACGAGATGTCTTGAATTTAATCCAAGTGACAGTTCTTCTAGTTTCGTCTATTCCAAAATTTATAGCTACAGATTTCGATATAACCTACAATTAGATTTGTAGTCATAAATTGTTTTTTATAGAGGGGATATGTTTAGACTTATTATATAAAAATTGGTTTATTATTATATAATGGATAGAGAGAGAGAGAGAGAGTACTCTAGCATAGCACATCTTTTCTACCAGTACAATTACAGCTTCATCACTTGCTCTTTAGCTTTTCATACGCAATTAAAAAATAAATTTTAGTACTTAATTTTAGAGTTAATTTTAATGCGTTTAGTTGCAGTATCTTCAGAACATATAAGTAGTAGGAACATTCTAAACACTTGTATACAATTTCACACTTGGAACAATACCAAATTGACAAAGTTGTCGACATCTTATTCAAAATAGCTTGTTTGGCTATCTACCCTAACAAAACTAGGTGAGAGCCTAGGAAGATATAGAGTAAAAATCATGTCGTTTGTTACTGAATATTTTAAATATACTATAGTTGTGTAAATGTTGCTAAAATTTTGAAAAATTAAGTGTATCTGAACCGTGAACATACCAACACGCTAGACCAACAAAGGAGTACATGAAAGTTTTAGAAGTTGCATGGAGAAATTGTCAGCTTGAATGGGAAAAAACAAGTGGTTAAATCTCACAATTGTTCTCCTTGAAAATTTATATTCAATGGCAATTCCTATTTCAATACAATTGAATTGGGTGTATCATCATTCTTTTGTTCCAAATACTAATCTTCTGGGACTTTTTTTTACAAAAACTGAATACTTTTGACTTCCTAGGATCTTTTCCAATGTAAACAAGACATGAAATGTGCTGCACAGTGGTAATATTTTGGGCCACTGTTTTTAAGCAAATGATTCAGCCATGAGGTTGAGAGGTTCGTGGTGGTAACATGCTGGTGGATCACCGCTCCCGAGGTCAGGAATTATAAATTTACAGAAAACAAAACCGGCCCCAGCATTTGTCACGTCTCCCGAGGCCAATCCACCTCGGGATCGGTGAGCCTGCAGGGCCCGGACCCTCTTATCTAATCCAGCCCAGTAGCCCACTCTGATGCCGGCCACGTGGTGGGCCGTACGCATCCAACGGCCACGGAGCGCCTAGCGGCGGGGGCGGCCCACGTGGTGCCTACGTGGTAGCACGAGACAGGCCCGTGACATGCGCGTCTCCCACGAAGGCGAAATCCTACGGATGGGTGGCGCGACGTGGCAATATCCTGGACGTTGGTCCAGTCTACAACTACTAAAAAATCCTGGACGCTGGTCCCTTCTACTAATGTTGGGGGCTAATAAACACCGTTTTTTTGAAGCTATTTTAACCGTACCACAGTAAATGGAAAAGTGCAGGTGCTGCGTGCAACAATGCTTACTGCTTCCATGATTCATCGTACTCCCTCCGTTTCACAATATAAGTCATTTTAGTATTTCCCATATTCATATTGATGTTAATAAATCTAGACATATATATCTATATAGATTCATTAACATCAATATGAATATGTGAAATGTTAGAATAACTTACATTGTGAAACGGAGGAAGTAGTATGGATAGTACAGTAGAATACTTTTTTTTACTGGGCTTTGTTTGAAAGCTAGTAATCACTGACTAATGCTTCAGATCATACCACGTTAGGCTTGATTAATTTTTTTTTCTTATTCAAAAAATTTAAGTAATTATTTATTTTTTTTTCACAAAATTTGATAGGTGCATTTTGGAGTAGATAAGTCTATGATAGTACTGAATGATATGATGGCCAAACATGTGATGCTACTTTTTATATGATTATGTTCCCTTTTGAAGTGCACAAAACACAATAGCTCAGCCATGCTCAATTTTGTGCATCACCAGTCAGCCCCACACGTTAATGAAAACGAAATTGCTCAATGGTCATATTCAGTAGCAAAATTACCTTTTGTTTTGTCCCCTCTTTTTTTTTGCTAGTAGCAAAGTTACTTCTTTTTTCTGTTATGATAATACGTGAATAGATTTTTTTTTTTGAAAAAAAATGTGAAATACAATTTGCACCCACTGTGTAGAGAACTTTCTCCCCCACCATCCTCACAAATAACCCCAATTCACACTTTTTTTCAATTTTTTGGCTAATACAGACAAGCCTAAAATTTTGTTATAATTTATAAACATTATGCTTATAATAGAAGTTCGGTTGTTTTCCTCTTTAATATACTTGGATTTTTTTTCTTCTAACTAAGAGCTAAGCGAAGGCTTGCTTAGTAGGCCAATGGTTTTGTTCCCCTCTTTTTTTTTCTCCTTTGAGGACAGTAGCAAAGTTACACATTTTTTCTGTTTTGCTAATATATGAAAAATACAATTCAAACTCACGATACTCTAACAACTACTCCGTAATACACTTTTCAAATCTTTGTGTAATATAGATAAGCCTGAAATCCGCTATACAACTTTATGCCAACAATGGAGGTTGAGTTGTTTCTCTTTAATTTTATATGAAAACTTTTTTTTTGTTTTACCCCTAACTAAGTGCCAAACAAAGGCTTCTTTAGTGATATCAGCGGTCTATAGTCTCTATCTCTCTAGCATGTGTTAAGGAAACGCGTGTGTACACGTCTTTGTATAGGATTTTTTTCCCACTACAACAAATTAATTCCTACCCTAAAAAACAAATTAATTCCTCATATATATGCTAACTAGAAAAAAAATTCTGTGTATTGTAACAGGTGAAGGCAATTTTACGATTGAAAAAAACTTTACCAATTTATACGACAAACCAAAATAAGACAAACAAAACAATAGAAAAACACACGAAATATATAGTATTGAACCCGGTTGTATTCGCTTCATGCGTCATCACGCGAAGAATACCTTATATACACCATTCCATAGTCTCACAAATTGATGGGTGGCAATGTCATAAGTTGATACATGGGTATTTTGTTATACTTCATCGACCATAGGTTGGAATTTTAATTGTTCAATTAGTAAAAGTCTTTTTTTTACTATAAATGAAAAACATTTGCAAAGTATTAAACTTATCGCATACACATTTTAAACAATTATAATTTTAAAAGAAAAATATTTATGAAAATATAAAATTAGAACATAAAAGAAAAGGAGAAAACAGAGAGAAAAGGACGAGTAAAGAGAGGCCATTAGAAAGAGCAGGAGAGGATCAGGATGATTGGGAGAAAAGAAAAAAGATAAAAAGAAAACGAGAAAAAAGATAGAAAAAACAGGAGAGGGGTGCGCAGTGTGTTGTGGTGGTGCACATGACGGGGTGCCCGGATGGTGTGGTTCGATTGGGTTGAGCTAAGAGGAGGGTTGGACTGAAAGGAGGTGTATAATAGATAATCTAGTTTCATGATGAATTGGATACAGACGACGTACAACCAACTTAAAAAAATCACTCAAACATAATATTTTTAATTTTTATAATAGTAAAGTTAGACTCAAATATGGATAAGATGTATTAAAATTTGGATGAAAATATTTTTAATTTTTATAGTAGTAAAGATAGAGATAGTAGCACTATCACTATGCAATGAGCATTGCTGCATTGGCAACGATCACATGGTTCCGTTTTGGTGTACACTACAGTTGTCGTCTTCTCCCAAGGATTACTGCTATAAATGTGGGATTTTGGATTTAACCGGCTTTTAAACTCGTCCATGTTTTCACCCCAAGGGGTAGTGGCTCTGGCTTTATTTACTCCTTAAGAATCGTTCATTCGAGCTGACCTGACCACCGCTCTCTCGCCCTCCCTCCCCTCCCCTCCTCCTCGTCGTCCTCCACTCCGCTCTCCAACGCGAACGCTTCCCAATTAAACCCTACTCTCTCTCTCTCTCTCTCTCTCTCTCCGCCCTCACGTTATCTCCGCCTCCTTCTCCACGCACGCACAGAAGAGAAAAAGAAAATCATGAAAGAATAAGCATTAGCAAAAGGTGAGGTAGAAAGGAGAGGAGATATAGACGAATTCGGTTTTCAAGAACTGCGTGGTGGTGAAGTAGGGATCGATGGAGGTGGCGGCGGCGGACTACGCCGGCGGGGTCCGTGTCAAGAAGGAGGCCGGAGGCTGCGGCGGCAGCGGGGACATGTTCCTCGTCGATGACCTCCTCGACCTGCCGTGCGACGAGGAGGAGGAGGAGACGGGGTTGTGCGGGGCGTACGGCGGCGGCGGCGCCGGCCTGGGAGCGGGCGTCGTCGGAGGTGGCGGGGATGACCGCGCGGCCGGGAACGCGTCGGCCGACTCGTCGACGGTGACGGCCGTCGACAGCTGCAGCAACTCATTCTCCGGCCTCGCCGACGGGGACTTCTCCGGCGGGCTGTGCGAGCCGGTGAGGGCTAAATTTGGCTTCCGTTTATTTGATTACTGTCGCGGCGTCGCAAATATGGCACATATTTTTCAATGAATTTTGGCCAACTGTGTACAATTCACCCGTAATTCGTTTCCAAAATTCACCACCCCGCGTTAAAACTCCCCCATGAATAAAGGGAACATAAATAGCATCCTGCCGAGTAAATAGTAACCGAGGAAATCTGCGTCCAAAAATAGTAGCATCCTATGTCCACTCGCCCCACTTAGCCAACTTAGCCACTGTATTTTTTATTCTAATTTTCATGACAATATCTTGTTAATTTACTGAGTTTAACAACTAGCGCCATTGCTGAGACGGTTGTCTGATGTGAAATTTCTACGCAGTATGAACAACTCGCGGAGCTGGAATGGGTGTCCACCTACATGGGCGAGGAGACCTTGCCCACGGAGGATCTCCGGAAGCTTCAGCTCATCTCCGGCATCCCCGCCGCGCCGCGCGCGCCGCCCGCTCTGGCCGTCTCCGCGGTGCAGCTGCCGGCAGGAGGCGCCGGCGCGCTGCCCACGGAGGCGCCCGTGCCGGGGAAGGCGCGGAGCAAGCGGTCCCGCGTCGCGCCGTGCAGCTGGTCGTCGCGCCTGATGGTCCTGCCGCCGCCGCCGGCGTCGCCGCCGTCCCCGGCGTCGGCGGTCATCTCGCCGTCCGAGTCGGGCACCGCGGCGCCGGCATTCCCGGCCAAGAAGGCGGCGAAGTCCGCCAAGAAGAAGGACGGGCCGTCCCCCGCGCCGGCGCCGAACGCGGCCGCGCAGGCGGCGGCGGAGGGGAGGAGGTGCCTCCACTGCGAGACGGACAAGACGCCGCAGTGGAGGACGGGGCCCATGGGTCCCAAGACGCTGTGCAACGCGTGCGGGGTGCGGTACAAGTCCGGGCGGCTCGTGCCGGAGTACCGGCCGGCGGCGAGCCCGACGTTCGTGGTGTCCAAGCACTCCAACTCCCACCGCAAGGTGGTGGAGCTGCGGCGCCAGAAGGAGATGCAGCTCCTGCACCACCACCAGCAGCCGCCGCCGCACGTGGGCGCGGGCGGCGGCGGCGCCGCCGGAGGGCTGCTCCACGTGACGAGCCCGCTGCTGTTCGACGGGCCGACGTCGTCGGCGCCGCTCTTCGCCGGCGCGGACGAATTCCTGATCCATAACCGCATAAGCCCGGACTACCGGCGCCAGGCTACCTAGGAAACTATTCATTAGCCCAGGAATAATTCAGCGATAAAAACAGCTAATTTTTTTTTTGTCCTGCAAACCGCATTTTTGGTTACTCTTTATTTCTCAGCTTCTTAAGTTTCTTTTTTCTTTTTTTGAGATTTTTAGTGTTTTTTCCCCCTTAGAAGCAGACTCTGAGGAGTTTCTTTCGTAGCACATTTTTTTTTCTTTTGAATTTTGTAATGCAGGACTCTTAGAAGAAGAGGAAACAGGAGCAGTTTCAATTAGTTCAAAGCACCCGGTACTTTCTTCTTTACACGTGATTTCCAATCTTGTCTGTGTTTTGGTGAGCAAGATGATCGTGCCCTTGTGGTGGTGAATCAATCGATCAATGTTATGATAAGGGAGGCATGCATGCTGGTGCGCACAAAGTGACACAAATGTGGTGCATGCAACCGTGCTACTAGTAATAACCAGTGTTAAACAAAAAAAGCTGCACGTGATCATCAGAATCTTGGCAAAAACACACACATGTAAAGAACAGATGGTCAGATGCCTCCCCCGGCGTCTTAGGATTCTTTTTTACGAGTATAACTTCACTGGGAGTGGGCCCAGCGTGTCAGCCAGAGTGCCAGAGTTGGTGAAAGGATTATGCTGTAGTTGTAGCAGCCACTCTGCTGGTAGCTCATGTGTGGGGGACTGGGGACTGGGGACTGGGAGGTGGTGATTGCAAGGACGGGATTTAGATCCAACCACTCTGCTGTAAAAATGTTTTGGACCGGCTCCCGTTGGATGGATTCGTAGGCACATCAGTACATCACCTCCCTTGGCCGGTGCGGTGCTATCTACCACCTCGTTTGGGCCCTTTTTTGGACGTTCGCTGCGTACGTATCTGACCACCGAAAGCTTATAATTCGTTCGGTTTTTTTTTTACCTATCGCGTCATTCTCACTTGCTCACTTGTGTCCATCCTATTCTGTGTAGTGTGTATCATCTGCTTTGCCAAAGCTGACACTTGTACATACTGCTGGAGTACTGGATGGCCTTCAGGTTCAGGGTAAGTAAATTGGTTTGACAAGGGAGAAGAGGAGGCCGTGGATGGCATGTGCATCTGGTTGATTTCGTCTCACGCAAAGCGCCGGCCCGGCGCGCTCTTTCCAGTGAAAGCGAAAATTGGTTCTCGTTTTTGGCGCAGATTTCGTAGAAGGTTTTGTGAGTAGAGTACTACTGGTAGTACTAGCTAGTTGGTGCATGCATGAACAGTGTAGGTACTCGTAACTCATAAAGATGGGTTGACATGGCACGATTGTACACATGGCCGCAGTTGGTCCATATTGGGGGAAACGATAGGGTCCCTGCTGTACAAGTAAAGAAAGACAACTCTAATCTCGTCGTCTGGGAGACTTGGGACAGTGCAAGAGGAGGCGATTATCTAAAATTTTTCACATGAAACAAATTCAAGTCAGGAATCAGGAAAGGGTTCTATGTCAATCCATAGACACCAACCACATATACACGATGGGCTCCGCAGGCAAAAACGATCACAAATCCCATAAGCAAAAAAGTTCATTTTAACTCCCTCAGCCATAAATTCAGATGCACGGACTCCATAAATTGTTACAACCAGGTTAATTGACCTCCCTCGACTGTTTTTACAGCAGGTTCGGCTGGCATGACGTTTTCGTGGTACGTTGACCAATCTTCATCCTACGTGACAACCACGTGACGCTTATAAGACATTATAATCATAAACAAGAATTTTAATATAGTGTGGAGTCATATGTCAGTGAGCACCATCTCTCTTCTCTTACTAGGATGACACAGTGGTAGATTAAGGCATCGGCCGAGAAGGCGGCGGTTAGCATGACAAGGGCCAAACACGACTGAAGAGGAACACCAATTGTCGCCCTCTCAGCCTATCCTACCGCCCCTCTACCACCTTTGCCCGTCTAAAGGTGAGAGGGGAGAGAGGGAAGAGAGAATATAGGATAGGGAAAAGTTGGACAGATGGAGAAAGAAGATAAAGGTTGGTGACTTACAAGTGGTTCCTATATTTATTTTTTCAATTTTGATACCACATAAGCACCATGTAGGATAAAGATTAGAATTTAATGTGACACGTAGCCATCACACATCAACCAAAAACTCTTTTAAAATAGCAGAGGGAGATCAATTGACATGATTATAATAGTAGTTAAGGGAGCCTTTATATGTGATTTTGTGAATGAGAGCGAATCAAGCTCAACGCATAGTTAAGAAGTTAAGAGAGGGCAATATGATTTTATTCCCACATATGTAAGCACATAGCCCGACACATAATAAGGGAGTGGATTCTAAACTCTCGAAGAGACATCCCCTTGTTATTTGCATGACATCTAAATGGTTATGAAAAAATTAAAAAATTTCTAAGATAGATTAATATATGATGAATCACTACATAAACATGTAAGTTAAAATTTAACTTCTACAAACTGTAAGGAAAAAAAATAAATTAAACTATGACTATTTAATGTATATTCGCAGTTAAATTTATTTTTTATTGCAACTTATAGAAGTTAAATTTGACTTTGCATTTGTGTAGAGTGATTTATCACATACTATTAACTAGCATGGTGGCCCGCGCAGATTGCGCGGCTAGCATCATTATTTTTTCTCTCATATAATAGCATATATGTTTCTCATTATATTATTCAAATATATTAAAATGACAACATAATTTTAAATTTTGCAATAAATTTACAAAACTATTAATGTGTAATATTCATATTATATTTTATATACGTGTTAGTTATTAATTATTTTTAATATAAAATTTTAGTTATTTGTAAATTATATATATTCCTATATGGACTCTAGACTTGTCTTTTAATATTTCTTTTTTTAATTCTGAATTTTCTATAAATTATATTTCTATATAGATTCTATGCTCTTCTTCCAATATTATTTATTTTTATTTCTGAATTTTCATATTATATTTTATATACGTGTTAGTTATTAATCATTTTTAATATCAAATTTTAGTTATTTGTAAATTATATATATATTCCTATATGGACTCTAGACTCGTCTTTTTATATTTCTTTTTTTAAATTTTGAATTTTCTATAAATTGTATTTCTATATAGACTTTATGCTCTTCTTCCAATATTATTTATTTTTATTTCTGAATTTTTATTATTTCTAATTGTATTTCTATCTGCACTCTAAACTCATCTTTCAATATTATTTAATTTTTAATTTCGAATTTCAGTTATTTCTAAATTCTATTCCTATGTTGACCTTAAACTCTTCTTCCCATGTTTTTTTTAATTTCGAATTTTAGTTATTTGTAAATTATATTTTTATACGGACTCTAAACTCTACTTTTAATTTTATTATCTTTATTCCAAATTTTAGTTAGTTTTAAATTCCTATATGGACTCTATACTCTACTTCTAATATTCCTTATTTTTAATTCTGAATTTCTATGTTTTTTTCTTAATTGTATTTCTATATGGACTATATACTCTACTTCTAATAATCCTTATTTTTAATTCCAAATTTATATTATTTCCTAATTGTATTTCTATATGGACTCTATACTCTAATTCTAATATTCCTTATTTTTAATTCTGAATTTCAGTTATTTCCTAATTGTATTTCTATATGGACTCTATACTCTATTTCTAATATTCCTTATTTTTAATTCCGAATTTCAGTTATTTCCTAATTATATTTCTATATGGATTCTATACTCTACTTCTAATATTCCTTATTTTTAATTCCGAATTTCAGTTATTTCCTAATTGTATTTCTATATGAACTCTATTCTCCTCTTCTAATATTCCTTTTTTTAATTCCGAATTTCAGGTATTTCTAAATTGTATTTCTATATGGACTCTAGTCTCCTCTTCTAATATTCCTTATTTTTTTTAATTCCGAATTTCAGCTATTTTTAAATTGTATTTCTATATGGATTCTGCTTTTTATTTTTCTCCGATTAATGTGAGAATTTCTAGGCCATGAAAGCGAACGTGGAGGCTCCTTTTTCTATTCCTTTGATAATATAACTAGCATGGTGGCTCGCGCAAATTGCGCGGTTAGCATCATTATATTTTCTCTCATATAATAACATATATGTTTTCTCATTATATTATTAAAATATATTACAATGACAACATAATTTTAAATTTTGCAATAACTTTACGAAACAACTAATGTGTAATATTCATATTGTATTTTATATACGTGTTAGTTATTAATTATTTTTAATATCAAAATTTAGTTATTTGTAAATTATATATATTCCTATATGGACTATAGACTTGTGTTTTAATATTTCTTTTTTTAATTCTGAATTTTTATTATTTCTAATTATATTTCTATGTGGACTCTAAACTCATCTTTCAATAATCTTTAATTTTTAATTTCAAATTTCAGTTACTTCTAAATTGTATTCCTATATTGACTTTAAACTCTTCTTCTCATGTTTTTCTTAATTTCGAATTTTAGTTATTTGTAAATTGTATTTTTATATGGACTCTAAACACTACTTTTCATTTTATTATGTTTATTCCGAATTTTAGTTAGTTTTAAATTCCTATATAGACTCTATACTCTACTTCTAATATTCATTATTTTTTAATTCCGAATTTCTATTTTTTTTTCTTAATTGTATTTCTATACTCTACTTATAATATTCCTTATTTTTCATTCCGAATTTCTATTATTTCCTAATTGTATTTCTATAAGTAATCTATACTCTACTTCTAATATTCCTAATTTTTTTAATTCCAAATTTTAGTTATTTCCTAATTGTATTTCTATATGGACTCTAGTCTCCTCTTCTAATATTCCTTATTTTTTAATTCCGAATTTCAACTATTTCTAAGTTGTATTTCTATATGGACTCTAGTCTTCTCTTCTAATATTCCTTATTTTTTTAATTCCGAATTTTAACTATTTCTTCTAATTGTATTTCTATATGGACTCTAGTCTCCTCTTCTAATATTCCTTATTTTTTAATTCCGAATTTTAACTATTTCTAAATTGTATTTCTATATTGACTCTAGTCTCCTCTTCTAATATTCCTTATTTTTTAATTCCGAATTTCAGCTATTTCTAAATTGTATTTCTATATGGACTCTGACTTTTCTTTTTCTCCGATTAATGTGAGAATTTTTAGACCATGAGAGCGAACGTGGAGGCTCCTTTTTCTATTCCTTTGATAATATAATAGATAGATCTATCTTGTTGATTTTTTAAAAATTTCTTTTATAACTATTTATAACTATTTAGATGACATGTAAATAAGCAGAGGATGTATCCTCGAGAGTTT